CCTCGCCACCCATCCACACCCTCTCCATAACACCCTTATCCTGCATCTCGCGCGCCCTCAACTTCTCAATCTCCTCCGTCGTCAGCCCCCCCTCCCGCAATTGCTTCTCCCGCGCCGCGCGCATCCGCGCCTGGATCTCCAGCGCCCGCTCACTCGGCAAGCCGGACGGGACAATCGTCCGCCCGGAAGAGATCTTCGAATGCACGCGGTCGACGATGCTGCGGCCCGTGCGCTCGTGCGTGACATGGTTCGCGGAGAAGGCGAAGGCAGTGCCCAGTAGCACAGTCAGGTGGTCGAGTTTCCGGGGCGGCAGCGCGATCAGGATCGGGGATGCGACGAGGAAGGTGTAGGCGGCGTAGTTTTTGAAGCGCGCGTAGTCTTCTTCGCGGCGGGTGGGGATATCTGTCGTTGTAGGGGTGGACATTGTGTGGTTTTCTTTCCTTCTTATGTCGGATGTTGTGGCTGAGGGATTGAGCGGGGTGTGTATGGTTGTAGCAGTTGGTTTTGGTCTGCGAGTTGATTCCGTTTCTGTACTTTTTTCTTTTTCTTTTCTTTTCTTTTTTTTTGGATTCTGATAAGGCGATCATCCGTAGCAAAATCTACGGGGGTCTGCTGGGGCCACTTGTGCAGTTTTGCTCTGGGTCAGGTGATTCAGCTGGTCAGCTTTATTTGATTGGGTGATGTAGGGTTAGTTCAGGTATCGACAGGTAAATCTATCATTCCTCTCCACAGCAAGGAAGTGTTAGTAGAAAGCATACTTCCATCCTCCATATAATGGTGCGTTCATATACAGCTGAAATCATATCCACAGACATAGACTGAATTAGTATATTAACCAGTCCCTTTACCCAATCCATATTTCGAATCATTTCACAAATAAATGCATGTGTGCATAAACCCCAGAATTCAGAAACCAAACTAAACCCAAGGCACTAAATAACAAGAACCAGGCCACTGTTTGTCGAACAGCCTGAATCCGGTATACCATCGGCAATAAAAATGGCACACCGCAATGGAGCTAGCCGAACAGCGCCCAAAAATAGGCCACGACGCTCACTCGCCACCGAACCAGCCAAAAGCTTAACCAAAGCTTAGCGGGCCGTCGGCACGAAACAGCGCTGCCTGCTATTTACTAATATCTTGACCCATCTACTAGTAATTCCCGCCGGAAGACGCGGAAAGATGCAGCAATTCTGTCCATTATTTATTCCAATGGAGACTGATAGGCTTATGTTTCACGATAGCAATGAAACACGCACCGTTCGGTCAGATAGCAATATGGCCCAAGTCCAATCATAACCCACCCCCGTGAAAACTCACAGGTCTGTCGACGAGGAAAACGCAAGCTAGCAGGGCTTAGCCCATGACGTGGAGCATGTCGTGGTCGTGACTGGTTGGTGTTGAAGGAACGCCCCCTGTTCTAGCTCCACTTTGTGGTCTGGTTATTGTGATGTATGATTAGCCGAAGGGCGCAGATTCAGGTACCATTCAATTTTGATTATTGACTGTGGTGTGGCGCGCTCCGGCTTTATTTAAGGGCTCGTGGGTCGCTGTTTGGGTGGGTTTTGGTGGCAGTTTTCTTTTGCATACATTCTATCATCTGTGACGTATTTGCGTGGTATATATTGAATTTAAAGCGCGTGGTTATCGTTTTCATCAGTTTACGCTCATACAGACACCATGGGCCTCTTTGACTTCTTCAAGTCCTCTAAGGAGGAATCTCCCCGTACCCAAGAACCAACCTGGGATCCTAATACCATGACGATGCAACAACCGTCCAGTCCTCCTGCTCCCATTGTGGACCGTGCTGTGTCGGAGCAACCGGTATGTCGCTTCTGATTTGCGTAAGAGTTGACTAGGAAGGCTGATCGTTTAGAATACGCAGGAGAAGATGCAGTTGCGTGGTGGGGGCGCGGGTGATTGTTGCTGCGGAATGTAGGTTTCTGTTCTTACCCTTCACTATATCGTGTTGTCCTATCCACAGAGAGCTAACTGGAGTAGATGTGCTGGTATCCTTTGCTTTGAGTGCTGTGAGGAGTGTTGTTAGTTTGGTGGGAGTTGGTTGCAATTTGAAGGCGTGGAGGAAGGTCCTCTGGCTATGAGTTATACCCGTCTACGCGTTATTGGTCTACATGTTGTGCGAAATTCTCGATGTTGAGATGATCACTTCCCTAGTTAAATTTGCTTCATTGAAATAACAGTGTCTGTTTATCTCACTCCATTTGTGAGTTCCGAGTGTTTAGACTTTGATAAATCGCTCTCACTGTTAGAGTGTTCGCCGTACTAACATGAAAATAGGAATTGCACAAACTGGTACGGTACCTGCAGCTGGAACATTGGACGAAGCAGAAGAATGAAGACTGAGTACCGCACTAAAACTCCCGGCGCTGAGGACGCAGACGCAGGTCCGTACCGATGGTGGTGGTACCAGGCTCAGACCCATCCACTATTTCCAGCTTCCCAGCCTCATACTTGATCCTGCCATCTTCAGTATATCCCGCCGTCTGGATAAGCCCGCCAGTGATCTCCTCGAATATCTGACCGTATCTCTCACCGTCACTGAGGTTGCAACGAGTGCTTGGCGATTCGAGGTGCGCGACTAAAGCAGCGGTAGTTTTGAAGAAGCGGAGGCATCCGGGGCACCTAACGATAGTGGGTTGTATAGTTAGCGATAATAATCTGTCAGTTGGGCAGCAACGTACTGTCTATCTTCCATCATACGACTCTTCCTGAGCACATGGTTCTCAAATTCGGCCATGGTGGCAAAACTCCTCTTACAGGGACAAATGTATTGGCCCGTGAATGAATCAAAGAACTTTGTCGCGTCCCATGCGCGGTCAAGCATGCGAAGTGTGTCTCCGGGGGGAAGTGTTCCAATGCCGAATGGACGTTGCGACGACACGGCATCAGTTGTCGATCTGACAGGCTCCTTTCCCTTCCACGACTTGTTGTCTTTGCCTGTGGCGGTGGAGATGCTCAGCTCGGAGAAAGCCAACAGGTCACTAGGCGCAACACTGGTTCCCTTGGTAGCATTTGCACCCAAAGCCGGCCAGTGCTTCAGAGCAAGCATCGCTGAAACACTAGCAGTGGGATCATCCTGGCCAGGCTTCGGCTGGTTGTTGAGGGCCTCTCTGTTCGACATTGCACGACTTGCCGCCTCACCGGTTTCAAGCATGACTCCACCATCAGTATCATCGTAGTCGGCGTCCTCTAGGGTACCCTGAGGAGGGATAATTGGCAATGACATTCCCTCACCGGCATCCAAGGCCTCCCTGATCATCATCTTCTTAGACTGCTCCTGGAGGAGATGAACGTGGCGGATGGTGGAACATTCATCCTTCTCGATATGAGCCATCAGACCACTGGCGGATTTGAACGTAGCCTTGCAACCGTGGCAAGGGATAATCTGCTGGGATTGGTGGTTCTTCAGAGATCAGATTAGTCAAGATGGCCACTGGATACGGTAATGTCTCACCTGACGAATGTGGGCGTTGCGGCCACCATCGCTGCGAAACTCGATACCGCAAACAGGACAGACGATATGCTTTACACTTTTGATCTTGTGGATCAAAAGGCGCTCCTCGTCTTCGAAGTCTTCGTCGCACTGGGCGCAATATTCGTGCTCATCGTCAAAGGTCTTGTGCTGCTTCATTTCTCCTTCCGATTTGAAAACCAACTTGCAGTGAGGGTAGGTGCAGTGCACCTTGTTGGTAGCTGCTTTCTCAGCCATGTTGATGTCAACTTGTATAGGTTAGGCCAGTCGAGGGGGAGTGTATGAGTACCAGGGAGAGAGGATATGGTGGTGAGGAGGAAGATCAAACGAGAATACCTTAGGAGGGGGAAAGGATAGAAATATAAGAGGAACTCTCAATCGGAAAGATGGTTTAGTGTTAGAATTTCATTGCCTGGGTGTTGTAATTGGTGTAATGGGGGATGCTGAGTGAATTTAATCAGACAAACAGGGTTGAACGTGAATTTCACAATGGATATACAGTTTCTCAAACATACTTCTGTTTGCTCCATTTGTATTCTACAAAAAATACTACCTAGTGAGTTGCCTCTTGTGGAGTATGGAAAGGGATGCCTACTGGGTCAATTAAGATGTGTTTGTCAATATATATAAGCATTGTTTACTGTAGCAATCATCCTACCTAATACTGCAAGTATCCCTCTTACATCTGTTATTCCGTTTGTCATTGGCTTATACAAAGATATTATATAGTCCTTGCACCTAAATATGCGCTAGAGCCATATATTAAAATTATCAGTTAATTATTCTTAGCGGCAAGGACTGTTGCTCCCATATCTTACGCTCTACCAACGAGAGGAAACATGTTGTCGTTACGCATACACATTCATACTATATACTTTCAAACATACATTGGACATAAGATCATCAATCCACATACATGAGGCACAAAGCCCACTCAGCCTCCTCGGAACAATGGCGTGATCCCTTCAGAATCTCGAGAAAGGAAGCCTAAACATGTTAACACCATACTCGTCACACGAACCGCAGGCATTGTACTCACCACTTGCCACGAAGGGTAATAACAGCCCAGTTATTTCCATCAGCATCTGTCTCTTTCTCCACATTTGTTGAGAACGAGATAGCGCTCATGATACCATCTCCAAACTTCTCGTTCAAAACCGCCTTGTAGGCATACCCATAGTTCTGCACGATCTCATACAAGCGGTAGATCAGAGGCTCCTTGGGAGGCATTTCCACGGACTTGCCGCGATCAGGCCAGCCGCTGAGCTGCTCCTCCAGGGTCTCATGGGGGATTTCCAGGAGGGAAGCGAGTTTGGTGATGTCCTCCGCCGAGGCCTTGGCCTGGCCGTAGAAGATGGCTGCGGTTGCGACTTCGTTGCGACCAATGTGCTGGGCAATCTGTTCGAAGCTGAATTTCTTGGCAGCCTTGGCCTTGAAGAGAGTCGCGGATGCGGTGGGGAGGTTTGGGTGTTGCGATGTCTGCTCCGGTTATTAGTGAGTACTATATGGGCAGTTGGGATAGCTCGGGGTATCTAACGTCAAGAGTTGCGAGAGACATGGTGAATAATTTCGAGATGATCTGGTAACAGAAGTACAAATTGGACTCAGAAATATATTAGAGGATGTTAATTTGAGTAATTTTAAAGCGAAAAGGTCGGCCTTAAATAAGTGAAGTCCTCCAAATCTCCAACAAGCTGATGAGGGGTGTGTTGCATCACTGGCATCAGTATGGTACGATACGCATGAAATTCTGATTCTGCGGGGGATTGAAGGCCGCGGTGGTGTAAGTTACGTAATAGAGATACTCCAGGAATGCGGGGGGTGACAGGACGGCGGATGCCGATGAGGGGTAGTTGTAGTAGATTGATAAGAATTCCCGTTATCGGGAGGTTCCCCTTACATATACGATATCGCTACATACCGTTTTGCATTAGAAAAACATCTGTTCAATTGTTATCGTGCGGTTAATCTTTAAAGAATGGCAGTCATCTTGGCAGGGCTACTGACCCCGCCGGGAACATTGAGTTGGGCCGATGCGAGAAAGAAGGTTCATTTCTTATGGTCACCACAGGCTCGCGCAAGTTGCTCTAACCAAAGTAATTCTCCAATAGGACATCCCCAGCCAACTAATAAGACTTCGTGATCGAGGAAGCTAGAAGATGGGTCAGGAGGCAGGCATTCCCACGCTGGTGCATCACCTCCCACCTTGGCCACCTCTTTCTCCCAAAGGAAATGCAACATTCTCTCGTCTTGAGCCATCCCACATGCCTTGGGGGGCGTCATGTGTGCTGATTCTCGCTCCTGATCCTCTGATAGTTCGATGTATTTGTCTGTGAACCCGGATCGAATCAGTAATATATCACCCTTTCGTACTTCGATGATTTCCTTTCAGAGTTGGGATTGATCGGCAAGACAGGCCATCAGCTCATCGTACGTAATAGAAGCGCCACTGGTTGCATCATATACCTTGCCATACCGCTTTGCGTATGCCCAGTAGCCGATCAGGATGCCTCGACCGGCGAACAATCCATTGCCATGCCGCTGGTGAATCCCTAGTGTGAGGGAACCAGATTTCAGGATATCCTCTTTGGACTTCGCATTATAGAATAAGCCGGACTTCTGATAAGCAAAGCGACGTAGCCCATCGACCTGACTACTTTTCTGCGTGTTGAAATGCAACTATATATATAGATATGTGGTTAGCTTGACCTTGAGAAGCGTAGGTATTTCGTAGCCACACACCTCAACATCTATTTCAATGAGTTCGGTAGAATGCTCGAATACTTTATGGCTGAATTCACGTTTATGTCTCCCGGTGTCCGAGGAGAAACTAAAGACCAGCTATGAAACTCGGTTTCGCATTCAACACACTAAACGTCACGTTTAGTTGCTGTTACTTCAGGCTGAAACGGTGTCCGAGTTGGATTTCACTGGCTGCTCTTGTCACGGTGGATTTATTAAGTAGATTCTATTAAGATACGGTGTATCAGTATGATGGGTTATCTTTTCGGATATCAAAGCATTTACCGTGTTCCAACTTCATCATCAGCTTTCTAGAGGCCCCATGCCGAGTATGGAGGGTTATTTGGATTCAGAGGCAGCTCAGCGAAAGTAGGTCTAGATTTCGTTGATGTCATATGTCAGAGGGGAGGTAGACTCAGGTAGTGGTCTACTCTTACCGACGCTTACGACAGACATTGGGGATGATTGACTGATGCACTCTATTATATGGAAACCATGGGCATTCTGCACGTGAGAATGCAGTCTACGCCGACTCGATTAGAAGCGGAAACCTGCCCACCTCTCCATTGCTTGTATCGAGTAGTGCAACACACCCACAATGAACGTCATCTTGTATCGCGCTATCTCAATCTTGTGATACAGACTTTCTGCTTGATGTCTGAAATTACAAGGATTTGAGTAATCCGATATGCAGATCGTCGAGAGAATTGATACATTTGCCAACCTTTCTACTAAGGCGGAAATCCGGAACGATTTCCGCCACTATTCCGGTACACCAGCTCCACCGAGTCCACCCCAAGGAGACTAACGACCATGCTCTAATATAATTTGTTGAGTTGCAATCTCGCAAGCTGTTTGCACCGACAGAAAAGATGTCTTTACGCGGCTAACCGGGGTACAAGGTCTGTGCATGCTCGTGTCAAACACACGATAGCCCATCATTCGGCACTACCCATAGGACCGTGTCACTATTTTAAGGTATTAATACACAGCACCGCCGAGGATGATCGCTCTGTCTCGAATAATGCTTCCAGACAGCTTGGCAGCCGATAGGGGTCATTATGGGATGTCCAACCGAGAGTTCTGAGCCTACATCACGAGATCCTGCGTTCGAAGTTGACTGGGAACAAAATGACAAAGAGAATCCCAACAACTGGCCTTTGTGGTACAAATGCTTCACTGTGTGGTCTGTTTCACTCACTACAACATGCGTGTAAGTCCGACGATGTTCTTCCTCGCATAGCTATACTATAATTCCCTTTCCTGGACGTATAGTAGCATTTTGTCGGGTTATCTAAACTGCCTCTAGGATATTGTATTCCACGTCATATACATCCGGCTCGCCGGGAATCCAAGAATCCTTCAATGTTACATCTAGGATTGTGGTGCTGATCGGGCTGACTACCTACATGATAGGTCTTGGACTCGGTTGTCTAGTCCTCGCACCTCTGTCTGAAGTGTATGGTAGACGAATAATCTACATAAGCACTGGTGCCTTGTTTACTATCTTGGTCGTACCTGTGGCACTGGCACCAAATTTCGAGGCCGTCGTCATCAGCAGGTTCTTTGGTGGTTTCTTCGGCAGTGCTTCGGTAGTAGCTGGTCCTGGCACTATAAACGATATAATCCATCCCGAGTACAGAGCTTTAGCGTTTAGTCTATGGAGTCTTGGGGCAATGAATGGCCCGGTCCTAGGTACAATTTTATTTTCTTGAATCACTGGCTTAGCTACCGACTGACACTTTCTAGGTCCTATTATCGGCGGCTTTGTCTACCAATATCTTGGGTGGCGCTGGATCAATTGGATTGTGCTTATATGTGGTGGAGCGTCAACCGCATGCCTCTGTTTGGTGAAAGAGACATACGCACCCGTCCTGCTCAAGAGGCGACGAAAGGCAAAGCAAATCGAAACTGGCGATACACGCTGGTGGACCAAATATGACAGCCAAGGTGAAGAAAGCATCTGGAAAAGACTGCAGACTAGTCTTAGCCGGCCACTTATCATGGCCATTTTTGAACCAATATGGTAAGTGATTGAGAGGCCTCGACCTCTGTCCCCCAAATGAAAATTGCCAGTGTGGTTCGTGCTGACTGAATAGTTTATTCTGGAACGTATATGTGGGTGTTGTCTATGCAGTATTATTCCTCTGTTTTGTCGGGTATCCAATTGTGTTTCAGCAACTCCGCGATTGGTCCCCTGGGCTGGCAGGGCTCGGATATTTGGGAATCGGCACTGGCATAGCGTTGGCTGTGTTGTCAGAACCATTAGTCCGCAGGTTCCTCATTGGAAAACATCCACCTGATCCGATCACTGGCAAGATCCCACCAGAGGCGTTGGTGCGGCCAATATGCATCGGCGGGATACTCATTCCGATCGGGGAGTTCTGGTTTTCTTGGACCGCCCGGCCACCTGTCCATTGGATATCATGCATACTAGCGGGTATCCCGTTTGGGTTGGGGAATGGGCTAGTGTTCATCTATGCCACGAGCTATCTGGCAGCTAGCTATGGTATTTATGCCGCCTCTGCTATCGCTGGAAACTCGGTGGTTAGATATGTGTTTGGGGGAGTATTGCCACTCGCAGGCTCGAAGATGTATGGGGCGATGGGGGTGCATTGGGCGGGAACGATGTTAGCACTGGTGGAGGTATTTTTGACATTTATCCCATTTGTTTTCTATCGATATGGTGGAAAGATCAGGCAGCGTAGTCAGATGGCTTCGAAGATCATCTAACGGCACTGGTGTTATCGAATTCAGAAACTGTATGGGTGTTACATCCTTATTACAAAGCCTAGAATCTAGGGATTTGCCTTAGATATGTATAAAATCAGCCCTTATATTGTCTCTAGAATACATGAATCTCACAACGTTGTGCTACTAGATCAGTCTCACTTCTCGTTGAAGCTGAACAGGCGTGAAATATAATATTCCGCCTAAAGCAGCCGAAGTAGAAGATGCAACGAGCGACTCCAATTACATAAACACCAAATGAATAATTATCTTACTACAGTACTATGAGATATGCAATTTAGAAATTTTTATTATATACTGACTTGGCAGTTGCACACATTCCCACATCACCGAGACAGCCAAATGCACCATTGAATTGGGAACGGAAATGCAACGGAATTGTTGCAATAATTCCGTCCCCGGACACCGAACGTGACCCACACTACATCTGAACTCCCCCAGGGACTCGTCAGACAACAGCTGCGACATCTTGGTAGCACTCCTAGTGCTGCAGATCAATCATATCCATGTCGATCAGCTCCGCCGAAATATCTGAAATATCCAGACAAGTTCGAACGGCAGAGAATGGGGTCTACTATCTCCGACTAAAAATCATGCAATGTTCTCATGGCGAGCTATCGTAACCTGCAAACACCGGGACCCATATGCACATCGGCAAAAGCGGCCATTTTCGCATGGGAGTTCCGAATCTGGACCCATTTAGTTCCAGCGGGATGCCGAATGAGGTTATGGTCCTTGATATGGCGCTGTTCTACGATGAAACAACCGATGTATAAAGAGGTTGAAAGGTGTCCTCTTTCATTTTCTCCATCGAACAACCTTAACTATACTCACAGAGAAGAAGGTCCATCATGAGTCCTCTATCCGGCAAGGTCGCTTTCGTCTCAGGTGCCAATGGCATCAGTGGTTTCGCGATCATCGAGCACTTGATTCGGCAGCCCAAGACCGAGTGGTATGTCCCAACAAGAATTGGTTAATTTAGCGAGGGAGCCGTTAGCTGAAGCAAACCGGGTATAGGTCGAAGATTATTGTGACCTCCAGACGTCCACTGGCGTATTTCTGGCCCGACCCTCGCGTAGAATTTGTGGCCGTGGACTTCCTCGACCCGGTAGAGAAGATCGTCACAAAGTTGAGGGACATCTGTGCGCCAGTGACTCATGCGTACTTCACCTCGTACGTGCACCATGACGACTTCAAGGTGCTAAAAGAAAAGAATATACCTTTGTTCAAGAACTTCATGGATGCGGTGGATGAAGTCTGTCCGAATCTGGAGCGGGTTTGTCTTCAAACTGGTGGGAAGGTTCGTCTCTCTTATTTGCACTCTCTATTCAGCTTCCTGCATTTGGACACGGAAGTTCGCTAAGGCATTACCCAGTATTATGGCGCTCACCTCGGGCCCGTGAAGTTCCCTCTATCTGAGGACATGCCCAGATACGACGACAAGGGTTACAATTTCTATTACCCCCAGGAGGACTATCTGAAGGAGGCACAGAAGAGACGAGGGACGTGGTCCTGGAACGTGATCCGCCCGAACGCAATCAATGGATTTGCTCCCCACGGTTGGCTCACCTGGAAGTATCCCCTTGGTTACTCAGCTAACGAAAATTTGCTATCCCACAGCAAACGGAATGTCCGAAGCCCTGACCGTGGCCATCTACATGTTGATCTGTCGGGAGCTCGGCCAGCCCGCCCAATTCCCGGGTAACGAGTATTTCTGGAACTCCATAGACGATAACTCTTACGCACCTAGCTTGGCCGATTTGACCATCTACGCTACGACGACGGACCACTGCAAGAATGAGGATTTCAATCATTGTAACGGGGATGTCTTCGTGTGGAAATACTTGTGGCAAGATGTCGCGAAATACTTGGGCGTTCAGGTATGTTGTATGGTATGCAAAGAGATGACACGATGATCAGCTGACAACTTGTATGCAGGTCCCCGAACCGCAATTTCACAAGGCCACCGGCCAAACCGATACCCTTGACAACGAAATCGACATGGTGGAGTGGGCGAAAGACAAGCGTCCTGTCTGGGAAGCCGTGGTGAAGAAATACGGAGGCAAGCTCGAAGCCTTCGACTGGGGCACCTGGGGTTTCTTCAACTGGGCGACCGGCAAGTCCTGGTGCACAATCTCGTCTGTTAACAAGGCCAGGAAGTACGGTTGGCAGCGAACAGACGATACCTTGGAGACTTGGATTGAGACCTATCGGTCTTTTGAGAATGCGGGAGTGTTGCCTAGCCACACTGCCCTCTAGAGTCATTATATGAGTGTCGATGGTCGTTGACTGGAATTGCAAGATAGAATTTAGATATAGTACATATGATTCTTTGGGTAGCGACATAACCTTCTATTCTAAAGAAAAGTCTGCTCAGATACATCTCAACACAAACCGAGCCTCGAACTTCATCAAAGACTTAATCTAACCCTCAGGCGGAAGCATGACATTGGATCCTATATCAATCCCAAACAAAGACTCCAACCATCCCATCTCCATATATGCAGTTCCATCCTGGACCTCACTTGGCCGTGTTCCGACCATCCATCCATGGACAGGACCACCCGGTATAATATCACTGGTAAGACTTTGCTCAAAGTCAAAATCAGTGGTCACGAGGTTTGGTGGCGTAACGGTCCATCCTTCAGAGGTATGTTGATGTGTTAATGGAGGTATTGGATGCGACGCATGGATAGAGCTCGTCACGAGAGAAGATTTATTTTGATTCGTCAGTGCCGAGATTGGAATATAACTACCCTGCACAGTGGATGTGTGGGTTGAGTGATTTGAAGGAGGGAGTGTCATGGACGATGTCCAGGCTGTTGTCTGAGGGACCGTGTTAGTATCCGTGATATGGTTTTGGGATGATGGCTGTAGCGCCGCGGAACGCTTCGAGGGTTGATTTCTGGAATCGGATAGAACGGATGAAGTTATCTGATTCAGCCTCCGGATTGTTCGGATCATCTTTCCTGAGACCCATGTCTTGCGGCAGTAGTTCTCGAGCGAGATTGCGGCGTGGAGTGTGATGTTGCCGTACATTGCTTTGAAAGACGGCTCTCGGATGATCAGGCCTAGAGTGACGACAGTGGCCCCGACTAGTGAGTGGAGGAAGGGGAACGCAGATGCCGTGTATTGAGGGATTTGCTTGAATTCCTGGATGATGTTAGAGGCGATTCGAATGCAGGTGACTTCGGTTTCGAGGATGTCAGCGATGGACTCCTGGGGTGAGGCTCGTTGTTGCAAGATTGGTTTTCGGATGAGGAGGCGGAGAGATAACCATCTCTAGGTATGTGGTTAGTCAACGAAAGAACAAAAAACGGGTGTGAAAATAGGAAGATGAAGAGGTCTCGTACAATTCGCATCAGCATCTGCTGCTTGGTGAGCCATCGAAGCGGATTCCTTCGCTCAAGATTTGGCGGCTCGGCGTGGTGACTATCGGAAAACTCTGGTCCTACTTCCACTTGGGCACTGGATATGAGCTGGTCTAGGTATTCTAGTAAACTTGAGCTGGGGATGACATCTGTCATATTGGCCCCGTAGATTGCCTCCCATATCTTCCCCACGACACGTGAATAGCGGATGGTGGCACATAGGTACGGGATTGGTGTAATGGAATCTTGGGAAAGTGCTGCTTTGATGTCGCTTTCCAGCTCATTGCTTGTCTTGGGGTCTTCCTTATGCTGGGTGAGCCAGTCATCGTCCAGGTCCTGGGGATGAGGAGCATCAACATTCACATCTTGTATTAGGAATGGATGGCCCGTTTCGATTGCTAACCGGCGATCAAGGGCATAAAGAGACCACCATAGCCGCCGAATCATTTCATCGTTGAAAACTGGCATACGTCGGACAACCTTGGACCGATGAAAGCCTAGATAATGTGCATGCGAGATAGCAAGCGCTAAGAATTTCTCCGCTCTTTCATTTGCGTCGAGTCGAAAGAGATAGACCACCTACAATAGTCACCAAAATATCAGCATCCGCTATGCGATGTTATCCTGAGGTCAGGTCGTGTACCATTAACGCGTAAGTTTGCAAGATAATCGTAGGCCTTGAGCACGCCCGAAAACAACCTACAAGGTCCCCAATAAGGTCCGTTGCTGCCTCGAAGATGCTCCACCCAGCAGAGTGTTTGCCCTCCTCACTACACAGCCGAGGGGATTCCGTACACCTTCCGAGTGCGATACAAACCCATACCTGAGCGACCATTATCCAGTAATCCTTGCTTCCCTGAAACTCATGCTCCGTGGAAGAAAAACCAGAATTCCACATGTTTGCATAATTGGCCCACAGGCTCGGAATGTGGAGGAAAGGGTATAGGATATGCACTTCTTCACAGAAAGTGTGCATGTATCCATCCCATTCTTCTTTCCGTGGATCGATGCCATATGCATTCAAGATTTTTCGTATATCGACTGCCTCACGCGTCTCCCTAGAGCCAGCTAGCGGGGAACCTGGCGCAGTTAAAGATATTCCTGACGCCTGACAGGACATGGGATGCTCTGCATTATCATACGTGGCATCTGTACGCTCCAGATAGCCCTCAATTTGGTCGAGGGTGTGGTTAATAGAAGATTCACCCGAGAAAGCCGGTACTTGGGATCTAACCGCATTCGAGAAATCAGAGGTGATGGGCCGTCGGACATTAGCCTCCCGTAGGTGACTTGATCTATCGGTTCCCGGCTCTTTGCCAACGGATCTGTCTTTGTCGCGGCCTACTGACTCCAAGACTAGGCTTAGCTGATGCTCAATCCGACTTAGTCGAGACGCGAGGTCTCTCGCAGTTAGTCTGATCGTATTGTTAGCTGGATTATATTAAACCAGCAGAGTAATAAGATGAATCCTCATACTGATCGTCATGGTTATGACGACTAGCGTCCGCATTGGCCAGCTCCTTGTCAGGAACTCCAGACTCCGTCAGCCCGGTTGTTCTTCGGCGCCGCATGTCGATTGTTTGCATGAGGCAATCTCGGCCATTGAGGACGCATGGTTGACAGGGGATGCAACCATCACACTAGAATCATCCCACGGGCTTAGAGACATCCAACACGGTATATTTTTTGGGCTTTCTCACTTTGATTTTTCTCCTCTGGCATTGGCCACTGGAAAACAGGCGCGTGTTGTCAGAAAGGAGGCTGTAGCTTATTACTTTCTGGTTCCGTACCAAGCTTTTGACACATATTTGCCTCGTTTGTGGCGCTTTGAGGCAGGTTCATGTGGCAGGCCCTCGGGGCTGTCGGAACCTCCATCATCATTCCCCTGACGGTCCCGAGGTTGTTGCTGCTGGCTAGCAGTTTCCCTGTCTTGCTGTTGTCGCACCATTCTTCGGACCAAGCATCAATGATAAATGCTCTGCGCTAATGGAGCTATGACATTTCGCTGAGCTGGATCACCGCGTCGAGTGACACTGGCAAGTGTATGTCTTAGAGCGACGATCTCTTAAAACTCGTGACAAAAGGCCTCGCTTAGTCATCACGTGGTATGCCGGAGTAAAGTACCGGAGTCTTGTCGCGATTCCTGACCCCTGCTTCATTTGTGAAATGTTTGCATGGATAGTTATTATGGTGTCAGACTAAGGATGTTGAATCTCCAGTAAGGTTGTCGAGACATCCGGATTTGACTGCATGATAGTTCTGTGATAATGGTCATGACGATGGTCACTCAAGCTTTGGTAAATGTAATATTAATCAAACGAGACTTCGATCATGTATACGGATCAATCGATCGAATGAGCTAATTATAGTTCACGTACTCCCACTGCGCCACGCAAATTACTCTTCCGTCAGGCAAATCGAAGACCCTTGAAGATTCAGGGACCAGTGCTGATCACCCCTCACTTAGGGTTAAGTCCGAGGTTTATCTGAACTCGTGGCCGTAACCGAGCATACCGAATCGTCTTTCGAAACCTTCCTGCCCTTGAATTAAAATCAGTGTAGATCTAAATGGCATAAGATTTGTGGCGCATGGAATGGATCAATCTATTCACAACGAATATGAAATCACCCACTTGATTTCCGTGGTCTATGCCGAGTACTAAATCCAAGATATACGCATCCATCGTATCTCATGTGAAAGGATCGGCGCCAGGAACTGGCCCCACGGGGTAGGGCCCTTCAAACAAGTTCAGACCGCAATTAAATTGCCACAACAGCTTTAGGAATGACTCTTTTCCATCCCCGTTTCCCCGCTCGACTTGTTTGCATCCTGCAGCAACTGCATTGGACGCAGTTGTATTCCTTGCGTATAACACGTGACCAAAACCCAAATCGGTCGTGAGCTCAATCTTTGCGTCTTTGCCTGGGAAGTCCAAGAAATAATCTATGGCACGCTGTTGAAAATGTCAAAAGGTAATTCTGAGCACAGCTCATTCAAGTTGGAAGAAAATGAGAGTGCCGCCGTTCCGAAACCGCCATTGTTGCAAAGATGGAAGGCCCATATGAAGAAATGGTGGTGGCTATATCTGATCGGCCTGGGCTGCGTTGTCCTGGTCACTGTCCTTCCAATGTGAGCCTCACTAGTGCATATGTTTTAATGCCCAGTTAATCAGTCAAAAAGAGCCTACGTCGGGGTTCCGCGCTTTGCCAATGATCGCATCAATAAGTACGACTTCGATTTCGACGGCTTGTCTATCACAAATCCGACGCCAAACTCGTTCCATATACGGCAATCACAACAGTTTCATGTGGGCATGGGTAGTGGACACCTCTCTGAGTTCGATGCCTCCATGCACTATGCGGGCTCTGATACTCCCTTTGCTGTTCTCCCCTTTCCCCGCATTGACTTTGGAAACGATGCTCATCTCGAGATTGACCAGGATTTGGAATTGTCTTGTGTCAGCTGTTTCTCAAAGCTGGCTGAGGATGCAGTCAGAAGCGATGAAATTTCAGTTCAAATTACTGGAAAGCCAACTCTCAAGGTGCAAGCACTGCCCACTGCCCATTTAGACATTCATAAAACGGTGGCCTTGCCAGGTATGTTGTTGCATACTTTTCCCTCCGATGTGTGACATAGGTGCATCAGTAAAGGCTAATGATATCTTACCTTATATAGGACTTAATGTGGATGGTTAGTTAGCATGTATTGGTGTACGCTATAATCCTACTAATTGGCCGTCATATTATAGAATTTATGAAACGTGACGACGCCTTTAACGTCACTAAGCTTGATCTTATCGATCCCCCTAAGGGCGGGTACAATGTAAACGCCACACTCGTCTTGAATACGCCAACCACAATTAGTGTTGAAATGGTCAGTCTTCATTCCGCTCCAATTGGCAAGCTTTTAACGGATCAAAAACTTCAAAATGCCTGTTGAAATATATGCTAAATGCTGGTCAATCAAGGGTGCTGTGAGCTTCAATCTTACCATAGATGACTCGGAACTGGGATATATTGACATCCCGGATATGACTCTTCGGAACGGCACGTCAACTCTAGTTGCCCTTGGCAACTTGGATATAAAGCTCCTCATACGAAAGGGATTATGGGAGAGTAGTAATTCCAACTACGGAAAGGTCACGATCGGTATTCACGGCAATCGGAGCGTGTACAATGGGGAAGAAATTCCCTATTTTACAGCAGCCGTCAAGGCAATTTCTGCATCGACGACAATTGACTTGTTTGACTATGTCTCGGACTTTCTAGGTGGATTGTAAGAATGGGTGTCCAGACAACTAAGCCAAAGGGTCACAATAATCAGACCAGAGGTCCGATCTTGCCCGGATCGCACCTTTATATAGCTATAACGTGGCCCGACGCCGTTGCCGCCATGACACGGATGCTACAGTGTTATATTTCAGTACATCCATGAGTCAATTAAGCTCGTCCCATTTCTCGATAGACTATTGTCTCCTTTCGGACCTTTCCTTCTTTTCTTTGATTTTACTTTTCCCAATTTTTTTCCTCGCCTCCTGTGGTTCACGGGCATCATATTTCGGTAGATTAAGTAAAGATAGCTTTTTTCATGTTGATAAACTTGGTCCTTAGGTGGAATATATCAGATATTCGCCAAGTTCATACTTTTCCATGCACTTAGAATTTATATCCCACGGAATACTAAGACATACGGGCATTCCGAGCTTAATACTGGACCCTGGAGAATGCACGGAATTCCGATCGGTGCTTGAAACGGGTACGGAGATAGGGTTTAAGGGTGGAGTTTCATTGGACAGAAAGGGATATGCCTCGGAATTCCGAACTGAGCGCATTGATCAATGTATCGATCGCCTCTCAGTTAGTGCATATATAATGTTTGCCATGGACGTTGAAATAAATGGCTGAATAAGTAATTTCGACCTTGGTCTCAACCCAAACAGAAGTATCCATTGATTCGCCGTTGTCTTTCATTTTCAAGCACAGAAGTGATTTTGTGAATTCAGGCCATCTCCACGATGGACATCCTACTTCGCGAAAGCTCATTCGGACGGTTACTGAATTTTATAACAAACGGTCGGACATTCCCACATCGTGATCTTGATATTCCAAAGGAGGAAGAAACCACGAGTTCAAGCTCTTCTACTTGCCATGGGGCCGCTCGCTACAAATTGGTTGGTTTCAACGGACCCGAGGATGCAGATATGCCCAGAAATTGGCCCACGTTGACCAAGACGATCGTAATGGTCGATGTTATGCTGCTGAACTTCAGCTTTTATGCGGCGTCGGCAATCTTCACACCAAGCATTCCGGGGATCGAAGAGGTCTTTGGCGCTACCACTGCAGAGGGTACACTGGGACTCTCTCTTTTCGTTATTGCATATGGCATTGGGCCACTCATTGTACGTATACAGGCTTATTTAAGTGTAGGAATACGCTGACGATAAAATCTACTCAAGCTTTCACCAGTATCGAACCTGCCATCTATTGGACGTACACCAGTTTATGTTCTCGGCTCTCTTGCTTTTTGTTTATTTAATATAGGTACTGCGCTAGCAAAGAACGTGCATACTATTCTCATATTGAGATTTTTCGGCGGCTTTATTGGGAGTGCACCAATTAGTGTGGGTGGTGCTACGCTGATGGAGGTATATGGACCCGCCGAAATCCCGTATGCCATTGCATTGTACGCAGTCAGCGGAGTGTGTGGGCCTATTTTAGGACCGGTATGCAAATTTCTCCCAATTCTCTTTTCAGTGCTTTTACTTACTCTGAGTACTAGATTCTAGGTACACTGGTAATGTACGTGCTCAATTCGCCCTATATGGCAGTCTCATGCTGATGGTATACGTGCAGCGAGCGTTGGGAGACATGGACTGCAACTCTATGGCTTCTTTCCGGCGTCACAGCTTTCACCACCGTGTTTATTTTCTTCCTGCTTCCTGAGACCTTGTATTCGAATATCCTTCTTCGTCGAGCCCAGCGACTCCGTGACCAGACAGGCAATCCTATTTACCAAAGTCAAGCGGACATTGACACGCCAGAGTCTAACCTTGCCACGCGCATAGTAAAACAGACTATGGACGATTTCAAACTTGCTTGCATGGACCCGGTCATTCTCTTTGTCAATATGCACACTATGCTGATATACGGGATACTATATTTATGGTTCGAGTTTTTCCCATTTGGTATGTTACTATTGGAAGACAACCTACATGCTTTTGCTCACGATCGCTTTAGTTTTTGACGGAATCTACCACTTCACCGCATTACAACAAGGCCGTAAGTATCCTCCTAACGCCTGCAATATTTGGCCTGACAGTCCTTTCAGTTGCATTCTTTGGTATTCTTGCGGGCGCAGTCGTGTCCGTTATTGTATACCTGCTGTGGTTATATTTCTCGTATCAGCCACGAGTTGCGAAACCAGAAGCCATTGTTGAGCCCGAAGCCCGCCTTGTCCCTGGACAGGTCGGAGCCATCTGTATCCCAGTTTGCCTCTTTATTTTTGCATGGACCTCTCGTGAAAGGTAAGTCCACTATGGCAAGTGCCTCTCGGACCAGCCGCTAATTACCATAAAAGCGTGCACTGGATTGTCCCTATCATCGGTACAGCCTTCTTCGCACCGGGGTTCTACCTCACCTTTCAGTCTATCCTTAACTACCTGGCAGAGTCTTATCCAAGATATGTGGCAAGCGTATTCGCCGGCAACACATTCTTCCGAAGTTCATTCGGCGGAGCGTTGCCTTTAGCCGCTCCGAGGATGTTACAGTCACTGGGCATTGGATGGGCATCGAGCACGCTAGGATTCATATCCATTGCTATGGTTCCTCTACCATTCATTCTGGAACGCGTAAGCAAGCTCCTAATTTCTTGGAGATGAACCCCTTCTCTAATCAACACTCAAACAGTACGGTAAAAGACTCCGGTCTTGGAGCAAGTACGCCAACTAGAAACCTCGTCCCCCTTATGTTACGGAGCATCTATCGACATCCTGGCCAGCGACTGGTGACAATGAATTCAGACAGATCGAGTCAAGCACTGACGAGACCGTCGATCACGCGAACCCCCCTATACCCAGCTATTTTCGTCGATAAAGCAGCATTGCCCTGCGGAAATCTCCCTGTTGTACAGAAGAGAAAGAAGATATGATCCCTGGTAGCACGGCCAGGGTGTTGAGACGATGCCGTCATCCCTGGAACCTCCGTCCCCGCGGTCATATATAAGTACCAGGCATTGTTTACTCACTGCCGAACTACCCCGAAAGTACCGTTAACCGGAACGGCATATAGAGCCGCTCTGAAACACAACCCTGTTTGTCTGGCATTAATATATCCAACTGCATGTTACCCTCCACTATATAAATATAATAATAATCCTTGGACTGTTGGCCTTTACCTGATCCAGATTGCAAGAACGCTGTGACAGTATGATGTGATAAAAGAGTGTTTCAACTTCATCCTTTGATGAATATGGAAGTCGCAACCCAGTCATAGTCATTCAACATGTGGGTTGTTCCCAGAATGATCCAACATAAAACCCTCCACGAAGTCCACCCAGCCTTCGATCCATCTAGGATAACAGTTCATCTATATTCCATTTCTTCTTCGTTCCATTCCTACAACTCACCCATCAAATTTGTTCAAAAGGACCAAATATGTCTACTGAGCGCACCTACAAGCGCACGAACAAGTACTACGAGTGGCATCGCACGGACGACGGAAAAGGCAAAAAAGGCGACAGAGGCAAAGGCAAAGAATCCGAGACAAAAGAGGAAGATCTCCCCCCACGAATAGGCAAATATTGCTACGCGAAGGTCACAGCAGATGTCTCACGAAAGGACGGCTACACAATGTTCTATACAGCCTGTGGGACTCGTATAGCGAAAGGAGAGTGGGAGATCTTTTACCGTGATGAACTAGTCACCTTTGACGAAACCCTTGACGAGAATAAACATATCATGTGTGTTCTAGTAAATTCAGATTGGCATACGCCAACTGAAGTGGAAGTACTGAGAAGCTTTCGGAAAGTGCTCCAAGAAGCTCACGAAACTATACTGAGCCTGAATAAGCAGAAGTGGGACGCGCTTGAGAAGGTATTCGACGCTGCTGAAAAGCATGGTCTTCGGGAATTTCAATATCTTATCTGTGAAGCATTCGAGAGTCTTTACAAAGTCGATATGTCTGTCGATGATAACATTCTCTAAAGGTTTACGCTGTGTGGGGGGCGGGCGTGAATGGTTATTTGAGTCCATCAGTTTATCTTTCCTATTTCCTAGCATGGCTACTCCAAGCAGGCTGGTACCTGCTACTGTCGTTCCTTTAGACAACAAAGTAAAGCCGAGGATGGGAGGGCGCAGTGTATGAGGAAGAGGGAAACGGCCTTTGACTTATTGTGTAGCGTTATGGATGCATCCTTTTCCATTTCTTTCTTTTGACTAGAATATCGAAGGTGTGCTTTTGGACTTTATCATGTATTGACATCATTACCTCAAAAACTGGATAAAAAATAGAAAACGAAAAAGGGCCATTCAGGTCCAGCAAAACTTCCTCAAGCATATGAGATAGATTATGGCCCTATGGCGTCTCATAATCTATCATCGCAAGTGCAAAATAGACAACCCCAGCCTTGTATGTTGAACAGTATACCCTTGGATCTGCAGGGCAATATAATTATACATTCCTCAACGTACTATAACTAAATATTAGACGAATAGTATAGCAACTTTGCGTAGCTATCCTTGATCTGCGCAACAGAATAGCCATTGCCAGTACTATGACAAACCCTACATCAATGATATTGTATGGGGCATGTTTGACTTAACATTTAATCCCTACGCTGTGGAGAGTATAGCCGGGATGCTACCATCGTTATCCAACATTTACACTCTACTGAATGATCGGAGGCAGGGAAGGATGAGATAATGAAAAGTGTCAAGGACTCAGGAAATGGATCATTAGAGGCAGAGTTCCATTACTATTGAACCCGCCTCCTCTATACCGTGCCTTAAGGCCGATCTCTTTCTTGTAGCATCACTACCACTCCTTACCGCGAAGTATGAGACAAAGCACACCACAGTGAGGCTTTGCTTTCCCCCAAGCGAGAATGCATGAAACCACTTCTACAACTATTCCCAAAATGCCTAGCCCTATCATTGATTATTCTCCCCGATATTCTCGCCTGAACTTCCCCAACATCATATCCTCATACCATCTCGGCAAAAGCAAAGAGGTATATGCTTTCGAAGGCCATTGTTTCACAAGGCCATTGTCCCTCTGGGTATATTCCGTGAACATAGCGGCTTTTACCAAACGCCCCTTTGTTCAAGTTCCACTGGATACTAGTAGCTTCGGTTCTCATTGTACGAAACTCTGAAAGGGCCACCACTATAGACAATGGGTGTTGATTACTACCTCAGTATCAGATGTTCAGATGTTCATCAGCTTATTGAACCAATGATACAGTGGTAGGGGAGTAGCATTTTAGACCTATCCGAAACCCTTGCAAGGGTAAGTTGCAACACCTTGGGCTAAATTCCGCATACCAAAATTTCCTTGTTCTTTGTCCGCAATTGCGTAAAGGAAAGCGCCCATAATATCACGTATTTGCTGCCCTTTCTCATTTAATGTATATACCGGCTTCTGTGGTATTGTAAGAAGGTAAATGGACGGAGTATTTCCCCTTTGGATGTGCGGTACAGGATGTTATACCTATGAATTGGCCTTATACCGTGCCAACAATCCACTATATGGGATAATCCACAATCGGCAGCATATTCCACTGGGCTATCTCTTCGGCGTAGGATGGACTTGGTGTAAATACCCCCCTGAGTTCCCAAAGGCCTTTCCACCCCAACTCTCAGCCTGCTACTCATATTTTATCATCATCAGTTGCTTCGCTTACTTTCATCCACCGAGCAAGTCAACATGTCTACCCCGTCGAGCGAGAAGTTATGTGTGGTGTTCGTTTTCAAGAAAGAGGTCGACTATCCCCACGATTTACAGGCCAGGGTATCTGAGGATGACCCGAGCTTTCGGATTTGGTTAAACGCCACGCTAAGAAGAATAAATTCCAGATCCTTGATCAAGGCGCAATACCACCAGAAGAAGATAACACCACGGTTTGGTGGCGCCCACTCTATGGCGAAGACGGGGTTTGGAATAGAAGGGACCGGTTTCCATTATCGATTGACACAGATTTTATTGAGGCTTTGGACACCCTTTGTTTTATCGCCCGTCAAAAGGCGGGGTATTTGGAATGATGATGGCACATTTTGTCATGTACAAGGATGTATCACGCCGGCAATCATCGGCATTTGGTAGCAAGGAGTTTACAATAGTCTCTATGTCGAAAAATGAAATCCAACTACGCGTGTGATTTTAAACGTTCAATCATAGTTCACTGTAAGGACCGCATCATATCTATCTTGGGGTATTCAAGAGGTGTCTTGTATTATCAAGTGCTCTGGGATATAAAGTAAAGTGAGTTTATATGCGCATTGCTATATTTGCTGTATGGTAGTTCTTAGGAACTCGTAGCTCCGTTGAGTTCTGAGTTGCAGCAGGTAATTATTATCTCTTTATAAGTGCTATGCGATACAAAGCGTCTCGAGGCCTCCTATCTCCCAGTTGTAGCCGAATTAAGAACTTGGTTTTTTTTTTTTTTTTTTTCTATTTTTCTTCGACATGTAGCTCCTGAGCGGTACTTACTGTGAGCCTGTCCGTTGGTATATATAAGCTTCTTTCCTTCCAATTGCCCAATGTCACTAAAGTAACATCAGACAGGTTACTACAGCGTAAACTAGCATAGTAATATGGCACTTTCCTACACCTTTCAAAGCAAGAGAGTTGGTATTACAGGTTCCAGCCTACCCAGGGTTTTGGCCATGGGGGCAGGATATTAGCAGAATCATTAATCTCAATAGCCGGAAACACTTCATATTCCTTCAGTATATGTAGGAGGATATTGATCGTACTGGGTACTCTCCCCGTGTATGCAAATGCAGTAGTGGAAAAGTGCGCAGAATTCCGGCAACCCTGCGAAACCCGCTTCATTTTGGCTAAGTTCCCAGATAGAAGAATCAGCCACTAGGAACAGGTTGTGGAACTCACCGGTGATATTCATCTGCGTACGGACTATGGCCTCTGCACACTCCTGGAGACCTCTACGACTGGCAAGCTCTTCTGAAGTTCCCGTCGATCTGAGACTAGCTCGGTATAAGCATAAATAGCGCGCCGTGTCTCGCTTTCAGTAAGCCTGTAGGGCATGTATAATTGCAATCTATATGAACACAATATCCCTACTCTGCAAAAGCAAGAAGAACGAAGCAAGGTCTTTAATAAAAATAGCTCATAAAGGCCCACCCTTACATAGCACGAAATGCCTTATTATGTATGTGTTAGAACTCGGTCCACTCACAAACCCAGGTCCGGAATTCTACGGGCCTCAAACAGACAATTCTGGATCCAATTTTACGAGGAATGCAAACGGCGTGTCGATCTTGATCAACTGGAAATCTTTGACTATCCACCTTTTGATGACATATATACCCATTGGATAAGGTTGGAAGATTGGGCAGATGATTGGGGTGCACCACTGCGGCAATATGCATCAAGCTGTATGATCAAGGGATTGATGGAGACGATCAGTAGCTATAGGTCCACTCGGAGTTCACGCTGGTAGGCTGTATTTCAGTTCTATGTGATATGTTGCTACAATATCCCTGGTGCTGAAGAGGCCCTGTTGCTTGAAAAAGAAATGTCCCAGCAGCTAGGAAAATTCGAAGTGAAGAAGGGTAATTGTTTGCATGGGAGAAACTGTGTGATATTCGGCTATGGTATTCTTTGCTTTCCCTCAGCTATGATGGACAGAAAAATACATTAAGACTTCTTTCTCACAATCTTTGAACTCTACTGTCTGACAGTATCTACTCATTGTCTGCATTGTACGAATAACAGTTGCTAAGATATTGCATAATCAATTCAAATCCCAGAGAATCATACAATTTTGAACAATGTGACCTTGCATGAGATGCCAGCTGTAGTTCCGAATCCTGATACACGCTCTCCAACGAAAGGGTCTGTAAATAAACCGTTCTGTATCAAACTCGTATTCATGTTCACACAGTGTACATAGCACCGGCGGCGGGCAGCTGTAAATCATGGTACCTGTTTACTCACATCCTTGCAAAAGCACCAAGTACACACTTCCTCTGGTAGGATTGACCCACTGAACGGAATTAATAATGCAGCAATAGCAATACTGCGGGCCTCTACTTAAGATATTATCAGCTTGGCAAATTGAAAAAATAGTCCCAGATCTTACCTATACGCTGCATAGTCAGTCAGTGATTTCTTACATAGTAGATACCTACCCCGCGTGTTGTGACGTGGCAGACTCAGAAAGCGAGTCATGGTCCTGATATCCATGTTCATGGGCACTATGCTATTATTTACACCCCTCTGCCTTCCTTCTGTTTAACCTTCTTTCTTCTTCATCTTTTTACCCCTCTATTGAGCTCTGGTAGTTATGGATAACAACACATCACAGGATGTATACCAATGGGTATCTACGCCGAAGGCCGATCCAATGGGTACCCCATCAGGATTTGGGTTCTATTTTAGAGATAATGTTGCTTCTGGCAGCAGAAACCCTGGCACGGACGAATTCTGGACGCGAAGTGTACCACCCGTGGCAGCACAAAATCCTGAACAAAAGTCAGAACCCGAGCCTCAGCCTGAACCTGAACCAGAACCAGTGGACGCGCCAGACCCGGAACCTGTATTGACAGCTAAGCTCCCTGATCATCCACTCTATAGGAACTGGGACAGTCTCGGTTTTAGTTTTAGGAGGAAACGAACGAAAAAGCTGAAGAAGGAAGGGCTGCCTGTTCCTGGGGAGGATTTTGCATGGCCTCCTGCGGCGCCGGATCCTATAGCGGAGGATCATGTACAGGCGTCTGAGCCGGAACCGGAACCGGAACCAGAGCAACCGCTAGAGCCAGGGCCTGAACAGCCGCCAGAACCAGTACTAGAGCCAGAGTCAAAGCCAGAATCGGTTCCTGAGCCAGAGCCAAAACAAGGAAGCCCGCAGCCCATTGAGCTCCCTCAATCACAGAGGAACCTCTGCGCCCAGAATGTAATAACGGGACCCAGCGCTCTCCTTTCTTTGCTCTCAAAGTATGCTTACCCTAACCCTTCTTATCTGCAGAATAGTATCTAACATGACAAAGTATCCGAGATAATGGCGATTTTTCGGACCTAAAGATTAAATGTGGACTGACAATTTTCAATGCGCATTGTTGTATCGTCTGTCCACAGTCTGGCTTCCTCTATGATGCTATCAGGGACGGATTAAAAGAGATCACGGTTACCGATCACCCTTTAATCATCAAAAAGATGCTTGACTATCTCTACAGGGAGGACTATGACGACGCCGAGCTCATCCATGAAGTAAAAGCCCTAAGGTCCCAGAGGCGCGTTAATGGACACAATAGTGCCACAATCCCTAGATATGCCAATGCTATGATGCATGTTACTGCTGATAAATACGCCATCAGCGGGCTTAGAGACCTCGCCGAGAAAAAGTTGGTATCAGATCTGATACATCAGTGGAACGCTACGGACTTTATCAACCTGGTTGAATATATCTATGAGCTGCCTACTCCTGCAAATCCAAAGTTGCAGAGTATTGTAGCGCAATTTGCAACGCGTCATATTCCGACTTTCAAAGAATATCAGCTGTTTCACAGAGTCCTTAAGAGCTTCCCTTATTTTGCATACTTATTCTCAAGCGAGATGATGGAAAGGATGGTACAGCTAGAGAAGGAAGTTGTATAGGCCTCTACGCTTTCCTGGGCGTCTCTGGCAGCGAAGCAGTGATGTTCGGTAGAAATGACACCAAAAGGTACCACAGGTATACTCAAGTGCGGAGAATGTTTCTCACCGCTGCGGGAAGCTCAAGGCTTGCCTTCAACCTGCCACTTTATGATCTCGACACCACTTGAGAAAATCTTCAAATTGATTGAAGTGCTATATGCAATATCAGAATGTCTAGTAGAGATACCAATTCAATTGAAATTGTCTCCTTTGTTGCTTTGACACCCCGCTTGCACTGCGTCGGCCCAAGCGTAATGTGAGGACACTAGATATTTCCAAACTCCAATTACGTCCGCCTAAAACATCGCAAAAGGATTCAGCGAAGACGCCACAAACACCCGTTATAGTATCTTCCGATGACGACGACGTGGTCTCCGATGAGCAGCTCTCTTCGCCCGAGGTCATCACTCCAGCCGCCCAGGTTCCTGAAGATCTCTAAGAGCTGATGTTCCCACCGACCAAGGATGAGCAAATTGTAAATACTGTCCTCGTGGTTTTTCTGAATGCTCTTACGATCCACTTCAATATTTCTGAAACTTGAAACTGGACTATCCATAGAAAAGGCTTTGTTGCCAAATTTGCGGAAGCCAGTTTGAAGATCGGACCGATGGATATCTGAATGATGGCCTGGAGAATCCCTACGCTCTTATTGAAGTCAAGCTTGTCATCCGAGCAAACAAGCAACCGATCATCCAGATGCAAGAAAGTGCCAAATGGTCGCATGGCTTAAAAGTGATACGACGAAAGCAATGCTGGGAAATTGTAGGCCACCCTAGTGTCTCAATTATGATGCGTTTCTAACAAATACTTGCAGGAGAATGCATATTTCGCAGGATCGGCAAGAGATATTTCTAATATTTGCGGAGTATGGCGATGATTACCTTGCATATCTCAACAATAAAACGTCTCATGATGAAGTCTCTGCGAATGAAACCTCTGAGGATAAAGCCTCTGAGGATAAAGCTTCTGAGAATAAAACGCCCGATAATGCCACTTTACCCTTGCTGACCATGCACCAATCTGGTCCTTGGAATACGGAATCTTTGCCTCACATGCTAGAATAGGGTCCTATCCTTCTTGCCATAACGCTTGACGCTGATGCCGAGATTTGGGCAAAACGGCAATTGAAAAGCAAGTAACCCAGCTGCTTAGCCAGGTTTCAGGTATACTAACATCTTACTTGTTTCCCCTTGTTCTCTTCAGTATGTCTCTACAGTCTTCGCAGTGTTCAGTCTTGCGCTTTCTTTTCCTAGTTTTATTTCTACCTTGTCTCTTGTTGTACGCTTTTCATTTGAAGTATACTATTCCAATGCATCCATCTTCAATTTAGTGTACTTTGTGTGCCGTGAAGGCCCATGTTGCAGAAGAGCTGTTCTTCTCTAAGTATGGTAATAGATGGTAATAGATACTAAGGTTATTGGCAACAGCCCCCAGTCCGTTCTAATGTGTCACCATACCATTTGAATCTGTTCATGTCCTACGTAGAAGTCAAATGCATGTTTCATAGTCTGTCTGCGGATGACCATGGCCTCTACGACAGGATATGAGAGGTGTTAGTCTGTGTATGGTTCCCGTAAAAGATAAAAGCTCTTCGGATCAGCCGATATCACGACGTCGCGATATCAACAAAATTCTAGGTAGAATATACCCTGCATAACGAAGTATACGCCGCATTTTACTCTATGGGAACCACTTGCTACTTCCGTACTACCTAGAAGCCGGAAATAAAAAGCTATATAGCCTCGGGTATAGCTGAGATAAAGACCATGGAAATTACCTTCGTCTAAGAGATGGCTTCCGATATATTACCCCACATATTCCATTCTTATACAGGAATATAGCAACCCAGTACAACGGACGGCGCCACTTAAAGGGGGAATGCCACGTGTAACTGGTGTGTCGTACAATAGGTGGCCATAAATACTCGCTGATGACCCCTAAAATCTATTCATCTGGTTTCTTCAACATCATCATCTTAAACCTATCCTCTCTTGCATTCTGAATCACCTACGAGAGCTATTCGTATCTACAGCGATAGTTTAAATCCTCAGAACAGCATTCGCATCGAAGGAATGGCTTGGTATGTGATTCTAAACATGATTCAGCCACGAGATCCACGAGAAGGCGATGAGGAGTTAATCAAAGATGGCTTATGTCGTCTTGAATACCATCCTCCAAAGTCTATGTGGCTGCAAAGTGATAACTTGGAAGGTGTACAAGGCGATAGAATTATACTACTGGTGTCGTACGATACACTAATGCCATCAGAGGATGATGTGAAGGAGCGTGCTACTGAAAAGCTCAATCTATTGCTAAAGATTGAGCAAGGTAATAGCTAGACGGTTTGTTGATGGGATCTTTCGAGTGGGCTTTGTTCTCTTGGTATTTTGTTCCTTGGTTTCAGAAGATGGCAAAGGTAACGTTGAGTTGGAAAGAAGAAAAAAAATTGGGAAGAAAAGATAGGAGCAAAAGAGTGTTAGGAGATTGAGGGGGCTTGCAACAAGTGCTATTTGATGCTTGCAGCTTTCCATTCGCTTGTGCGTTGTGGCAGTCTTGGGGCTTCATACGTTACAATATACGGGGAATTGTTGTCCAGCACTTTATTACTTTTTGTTCCAATGTTAGATGATTATTTAACGTAGTCCCTGTGGGGCGAAAGAAGAAAAATGGGGAAATTGATAAGTCATAAATTGGACTTCGTATATGTTTTGATATTCAAAGTATAACGTCCATGTACTTTCAGCAGCATCAGCATACTCTAATGCTCTTTTCAAAGGTGCAATTCTCACACACATGCTATCTTGTGCCGGACAAATATATCCCCAAAGCAATTGTAACTTGTACATATCTCGCTGCTTCTCGATGAGGAAATGCCTGGGTAAGCCAATATCAAGAACTTATATCAATCTGAGATGGCTCCAGTGATGGGGTCTGTCGGGACATAGTCAACTGATATCAGGAACTAGCCACCCTTGTTTAAATTGATAGTAGAAATACCCCTAGTTAATAAGCAGAGCCAGCTTGATATATGCCATCTATTGTCAGAATCCGGCATGTGATTTCCTCTTCAGTATTCGACACTCTAGCCTATAGTACGGATATTGCAGGGAATCCTTTGGGAAAAGCCATCTTATTTGTTTACCATTCCAGTGACACATAACATACGTTTAATATCATACCTGGCCTGGCTTTGCCACAGTGCATGAGAAATCCGCGATCTCGTGGTGGAACATTGCATACCACTATATAGTAGTAATAGCATATAGAAGGCTTAGATGAGCAAAATAAGGGATTGTCAGTAAAGAAATATGTGGAAGCTTCCTGAGGGTGGATCACTGATATCGATGCCAATCGGAAGGTCACCTTGAGGCGTCGTATACAGGGATGTCCCATACAAAACCTCTCGACCATCTCCAAAGGACTTCAAAGTCACAAAGAATCCCATTATCACGAGGGGCATCACCGTCAATCCCGACACATTCATTCATTATATCCTGTCTTTTGCCGTCCAGGTTGTGAAACATGGTAATTATCTTTTGTTGGCACGTGTAAAAAAAGTAATATCGTACCTACATTGTGGTTCTACGTATCAGAGCATATGAGCCCCTACCACAACATATGCCCACTTGAAAGGTATATTCCACAATGAGACTTCTTCGCCACATAGAGATCAGCATAAATAGATCAGAAAAGCCCATGACGTATATTTTGTATCCCAACCTCTCAAACCTCCTTTAGTCTTCTATCTCTCTTTGAAAGTCACCTAGGATTTGATATACACCCAGGTCAACCAAGAAGCTATCTTCTGTCAATCTTCGCATACGAAAATGCCTTTATATGCAAGTCTTGACGCGAATTATGAAGCAGAAAAGCCCATAAGATCAAAGGTGCGATTGATAGACAAAACGACACAGTACGCTCGATCGAAAGCGCCCTTAAGGCTGCCTAAAACAGAGAATACAACATCACCGCGTTCTCCTGGGGCCCGGGTGGCCTTCGTCCTAGAGGCAGACCTAACGCGCTTCTGGTTGAGTTAGAACAAAACGACCAGAATCAGGAGCAAACGGTGGAAAGTACGGCGGAATTCGTTGAGCGCAGTGTCGAAAGCCTATTGAAGACAGAGGATGAGTGGTTGAAGCGATTGTACGAGATGAGAAAAGAGCGAATTTTACCACATTTGGAGGAGTTGCGGGGACCGGGCTCGGAGAACCGGGGCATAATGCACCAGCAGGGATGGTTTGAACTTCTAAAAGGGCTTGAATAACAAAGATATGAGCAAATGCTCAACGAAATGAAAAAATGGGCGAGATTTTTGGACAGGATTTACATGTGGGATATAACGGAGTAACGAGGAGAAAAGATGGCATGTATCCTTCATAGGATCCAGATTTAACAACGTTAATTCTTAAAGAAAGCGAGACTTCTGCTACAAAATCGTGAATACATTATGCCTCAACAAGATAGCAAATGATGTGATACAGAATGCCTTTCCAGCTTTAGATTTATGTTTGCATCTTAATTGAGTCCTACTGATCCAGGCCCTGATTAAAGCGCTCCAGGGAGCAGAGGGTCTTCATATTTAAGCGTCGGGTCAACATTTAGCTGTAGATATGGTAAGTATACACTAGAACAGAGCCTCATATAATTCCCTCGATGATGCTATTGAAAGTAGGGTTGCCTAGTGCAGATCCAGTTTTACGGCTTGCTAAGGGTCTTGTTCGCTGGTACCCTACACTATACCCCAGTAATTCTCATTTAGGTAACTGGTTAAGGATACCCATCATGAATATCATAAGCACACTAGTGACTAAGAGTCCGAAACAAGCATTGCTAGAGGATTGAGATACCCTCTCAGTAGCCTCCAGTACCCAACACATTGTAGATAGATTTAAGCGACTTGCCCAGCGCAACTTACTAACCATTGAATCGATCCCTTGCACTGCTCACTTGAGATGCGCCTAACCGCCACGACTGCTCCAGAGTCGCCGTGGATAAATGTATATACAATTGGAGGAACCCTAACCATCTGCTTCAAACTAGTTAATAGAATATTGAATAGCCGTTAACCATCCAGGATGCCGGGAATTGTACTAGCCAAGCGAAGTCAATTGACCAACTGAAAAATCTAATCAACAATTGTAATCATTGGAATATTTGCTCTTCGCCTTTATGATTAGTGATCAACTAGGCTAGTCACATAGCTCATCAACCCCTCCCGGCGAAGTATCTGAGAGCTAAGAGTAATATCATTGTATTTAGCAAACCCGCTCTCGATAGACCTATCATTGTGCTGCCCACTGGCTAAGACATGGTTTGTACATCAATGGCTGACTCTTTTGGAGACCACGCGAAAGTTCTGGGGAGTGGGCTGAGAGGAAGTCATGATTTCGTACAAGGCTACCTTCTGGATCCGATTGTTTGCGATAGACGCAACGTATGTACACTCTAAGTTATGGGTTATCGGCTGAACTAGATAGAAGAGAAAAGACGGGTGGGGCTACGAGGAATCATGATTCATGAGTTAGTGACTCTTTTAAAACCGAAGGACGCAGGATTGAGGTGGATCAGACTCATTACCCTAAACAAACTACCGATACCCCGGCCGGATCCTTAGCGGGCCCATAAGCTAAAGCCTAATCGTTGATTCAGCCACTAACGATGCCTCGTGCTTCGGCTAGAAGAACGCGACATATCGGGATTCTAGATTAGTGATCCAAAGCCGAGCGAAATGATTACTGAAATGAAGTATACCTGGATCGATTGCGCGCCCCAAATCCCTGCAAATTCTGCATTATGCTGGCTAAAAGAACGTCTCAGATGAATGCAAACTCTACTTCTGCCAATATAAAAACTCAATTCCGAGTACACAAAGTGACTTTGTCATTCAACAGTCAAGAAGCCATTATCTCTTTACTCCTCTAGTCCTCCAGTCCCAGGCTTTGAGCTCTGGATCGCAAGCTTAGGCCTCATTAGCCTCAGTGACCTTATTGTGACCATCGCAGTACTTTCCGTCTACGGGGAAATGAGCGAAAACAATCATCATGCGCCAGCAGACACCATTATCAGCCCGTGTCTGACACCAGACTCTCAACCTCAGCCCCAACAAGAACATGCGAGCACAAAGACAGCCCGAATCCCTTCTAGGAAACGTGGGCGACCGCGCAAAGTCATTGAAGCCTGGTTAGAGAAAAACAAGAAAGAGGTGTGTTACCGCGTTTGTGATTTCCCTCGTGATGATAAGTACATCTACTCACGCACGACAGCGGCGACGGACACAAGTGCGCCTGGCGCAAAGGGCTTATCGCTCCCGTAAAGAAGCCGGTGTTGAAGTTCTAAACAAGCGTGTGGCACAGTTGGAGGCTGCAGCACAGAAAATGAGCGAGTCGGTGATCAGATTGAGTGATATCTTGCTGCAATCCCGGGTTCTCACCTCACACCCTGAGCTCACTGAGCATCTGCGTGAGACGGTACAGATATGTCTATCTTCAGCGAAGGACCTCGGGGATGAGGGTAGTCTGAACAATGTCACGCATGACGAAAGATCTCGCCTTTCTTCTTTTGCGCCAACATCGCGAAGTCTGCTTGACCTGTCCGAGGACGGAAGCCCTGGGCCGCTTAACATTCAGCCTTCAGCATCCCTTTTGAGGCATCATCCTAGCAGTCTATTCTTTTTCAAACCGGGCGATGTCGCTGTGATGGAAGTATCCGACTTCATAGAACAACTAAGGATTGCTTGTCTTTATGAGGGACTTCTGATACTCGACAATTCGTCTGTCCCTTTAACTACCCTCAAAAGACCGTTTCGGCTACTTTTATCTCTTTTTACTAGGGCAAGTATCACATCTGTCTTCAGAAGCGCCTTGCATGCTCGGCTAAACAAAAAGTCGTACATGAGCTTTAAAGAGGTCCCGTCTTGCCTATCCAGTCACCTTGAGCAACTATCAGCTCTAAGCCAAACGACGGAATATCAGTCAGCTCTTGACCAACCACAGTCGATAAGTAATAGTCCATTACCCAGCTTCGACCCGCAGACTCTGAGAGAAATCGGGGGCGATTGGTTTGACGTCCAGGAATTAGCGAACTACTTGCACGAAAGGGATGCGCGCCTGTTCGTTCGGCCCCCGAAAAATATGGGGAGCTCCCCTCTCAATCGGTGGTCACGCCCGAGCTTTGATAGTTAGTGAGTCTTTTTGGCCTTCCCCCTAGTGATGACTCTGTGGCTAACTTTACTAGCGCTAGTAAGCAATGCAATGTGCCTCGGCCACAGTCCTGGTTTTCGGCGTAGCGATGTGGAACAGGCTATTAAAATATGTACCTGGCGTGGAACTGTGTGAAAAGGATATATGGATGGTTATCGAGTTCTGATATTTACAACATTGGTCCGGAGGGAGTGGTTGAAGTGTGCCATCCATCCACTCTGGGGCCGATCACGTTGTTATGAGATACGTGGCCGGAAATCGTTCTCGCTTTCTAGGATTAATTGTGCCTCAGTGATCCTTCCTACTTCAACGGAAGATATTTATTTTATTTCATTTTATTGTTTCTATGGTCTTACCAACAGGTTAAGGCAATAATACAGCATGTCTTTGCCATGCGTTTTCATAAACAAACAACAGGCTGTAATGACAGATCTGAAACACCATAAACTCAAGATAAGATAAAGTTTCTAGTATCATTCGGGGGCATAGACGGGTGAATCTGCCGTTACTACTGTTCCGTCTAGTAAGGCTACTTGCCCCCACGTTGTAGTCAGAAAAGAACAGCATTCAACATTTGTATTGCCTACACACAATCGGAGGGGTTTCCTTGGATTTGCGGTGAGGTGTGTTGGTGGGTCCGGTTGACAAGTGAACCGGGGATGCGGGAAAGTCAGTAAGTCTGCGGTCAAGCCGTCTTTTCTCCTTTTCTGAAAAGACGAATCCACGAAAGGGGGGAAATGTACGAGACCCATTTGTGTCGAGGCGAGCCTGAGCCACATTTCTAGAAGGCCGTGATCAATGAGATCCATGGGAGCTACATAAGCCCTACGGCTCAGCCACATGTCGAGTGCATAACGTGACATCATGGCGTGCATGGCTTTACCGTACAGTACGCGTACATGCCTTACTGCGGGACCAGAAATAGATCTGGTCTGATGTGGGGTATTGTTTACTGACTGGATACATGTTTGTTCCCCTCCCCCTCGACAAAAGTACGCACGCTCAATTCCAGTGGGATGCACAGCCACCGCTCCAGATTCTCAGCAGTTTCTCGGAAACAATGAATATCTGCATAAGTTAACATTACTGCGCCATTTAATAGGCATGCTATATTCCAAAGAGGAGATGGTGATACCCGCCCACACTACTCCGTAAGTGGCAGCCTAATAAGAATGAGCCATTCAGCTGGTGTCTCGGAATGGCGGGGCAATGGGCGGGACTAAATTAAATACGGCCAAGTTGATCCTCGTTGCATCTTTCTCTTGTTAAATACTGATAATCCCCCATCCTCTTTCTCCTCTTTCTTTCTTGTCCAGCTCTCTGCAGGATTTCTACCATTCCTGCTGTGTGGCATCTATCAATCCTTTTTACTTGTCATTCCACTCGAGTCGCAGATAGTCAGCGACGGTCATGGCCAACCGAGAGGACCCGCTGGCCTACGGCCACTATTACGGCCAAGACGGGACTCGTGGCGGTCAAGGTGAAAGCACAAGGGGTTTTGTTGGAGATACTTTCAAGAAGCTCAAGGAAACCTATAAGACCCATCATTCGCAACAGGGAGCTCCCAGGCCCCAGCAGCCTCAAGGTCCCCAGTCTCAGCCCCAAGGCTCCAACCAAGACTACTATGGCGTAAGCCAGTTACATTGCCGATGTGCCAATGGTATCGCAAGGCTGACCGTTTAATAGGGTCAGAACTACAACGAGCAGAGCTCATCGCAGAACACATACGGCCGCCCCCCTCAGCCCCAGTATCAAGATAACAATAATAAGCCTCAGGGCAAGCCACCCAAAGAAGATAAGCTCTCCGGACTGTTTGGTAAGATCCAGGGCGCTGTTGCAGAAATCGGAACCGATCTCGGTCAGCGCATAGGAACCGCGCTCGACCCAGAGGCGTATGCCGAATATGGACAGGTAAAGCCACAGACACAGCACAGATTCGGCAGTTTCGCCCCGGACAGACAAGGCAACGACGTTAAGTGGTATGTGGACGGATGCTCCTACTTCTACGCTGTTTCAAAAGCGCTAGAGAGCGCAAGAGAATCAATTTGGATCTTGGACTGTAAGCCTCTGTCCTCGGGGTAATCATACTAAGCTCTTGGCTAACAAATCTTTAAAGGGTGGCTGTCGCCCGAGCTTTACCTGAGACGACCTCCCACAAAGAATGAACAATACCGATTGGATAGGATGCTGCAGTCAGCAGCGCAACGTGGGGTGAAGGTCAACATCATCGTGTACAAGGAAGTCACCCAGCTTTAACTCGTATGTACTACGCCCTACCTCGATCAGGATATTATGTGGCCATTGTCATTCCAGCCATGCTAACTATACTAGTCTCGTCTCATCATACCAAGCACTGTCTTGAGGACCTCCACCCAAATATTGCCGTGTTCCGCCATCCCGATCATCTGCCGGACCGTCAAAATTTGGCCCAAGATATCTCTGCGTCTCTTCACAATTTGTCTTTGGATGCAAAAAGCCTCGTCCAGATGTCTGGAGATGCCATCAAAAACATCTACGGAATGCACGACGATGTTGTTCTTTACTGGGCGCACCACGAAAAGCTCTGTGTCATCGATGGCAGGATTGCATTCATGGGAGGTCTAGATATGTGTTTTGGCCGTTGGGATACAAACCAGCACGCACTCGCCGATGTCCACCCGGAGGACGTAAACGAGAGCGTGTTCCCAGGCCAAGACTACAACAATGCAAGGGTTCTCGACTTCCAGGATGTCTCACATTGGGAGAAGAACCAGCTTGACCGAAAGACAGCCTCCCGCATGTTGGTCTGATATCTCTGTGAGCTTGCACGGCCATGTTGTGGAGGATTTGCGGCGACACTTCGTCGAACGTTGGAACTTTATCTACGATACGAAGTATAACTCGCGCAAGGATGCGAGATACTCCAAGCTCGCATTGTACGGTCGACCCAGCTCGTCGAACCGCCCACAGCAGCCTGGTGCTCAGCAGCAACAGGGTACATCTCCCCGACCTAGTACTAGCAGTCAGGGAGCATCTAGCTACCAGCAACCTCCGGCATCGCCACAGCCGGGTCTGTCGGCCCAGCCCCAGGCACAGACAGCGGGTAACCAAGCCTACCAGCAATCGGCAACTTCGCCGCAACCTGGCCTTTCAAGCTACTTCACTGCCTCTACAGCGAGTAACCAAGCCGCGTCTACTCTCCAGCAGCCTGTTTCTGGCTCCTCGCAGTCTACGGGTACCACCCAGAACTATACTTACACTGGGCAATCTTTCCCACCACCTCCTCCTGGGCCGCCACCATCTCAGAGCCCTGTCCCATCTCAGACACCCACTCAGGGGCAAAGCCAAACGCCGTATTATGCTCCCCCTCCAACCCACGAGCAAGCGGGACAAGACCAACCACCGCAGTACGCAACCCACACTCCTCTCCCGACCCAGGAGAAGCCACACTCTCAAAGTGCGACTCAAGGACAGGGCCAACCACCGCAATATACAGCCTACCCGGCCCAGGGGCAGTCACACTCTCATAACGCAACTCAAGGACAGGGCCAGGCATCGTACTATGCTCCTCCCCAGGGGTCGTCGTATTCTCAGGCACCTACACAGGGACAAAGCCAAGCACCATACTTCCCTCCTCCTCCAACCCAGGAGCCGGCACACTCTCAAGCCCAAGCTCAATCACAAGGTCAAGCGCCACAGTACGCAGCCTATACTCCTCCCGCAACCCAGGAGCCATCGCACTCTCAGACACGTGGCATTGATGACCATTACGAGGGCACCCGCGGACACGGTGACAGGGAAAGAGGTTCGGGACTCATCCCCCGTCGTTTCCGAGATGAGTTCACTCAGTACTCGAATGTTCTTCGCGGCCAATTGGCTGGTCAAGTGCATCAGTACCAGGATCGTCTGAGCTCATTCGGACAACCCTCCCAGCCTCGCGGCAACATGTGCTGTCAGATTGTCCGTAGCTGTTCTAAGTGGAGTAATGGCACACCTACCGAACATTCAATTGCCGATGCGTACTCTGCGATTATCCGGAACAGTGAACACTTTGTGTATATCGAGAATCAGTTCTTCATTACAGCTACTGGCGACGCCCAGAAGCCGGTCAAGAACCAGATCGGTGCTGCGATCGTCGAGCGTATTTTACGGGCTGCACGTGCCGGCGAGAAGTGGAAAATGATTGTTGTGATTCCCTCTGTTCCCTGCTTTGCCGGCGACCTGGCAGATGACTCTACTCTCGGCACCCGGGCTATCATGGAGTTCCAGTACAACTGCATCAACCGTGGGGGAAACAGTATCATGGAGCTGGTTGCTAAAGAGGGATACAACCCTATGGAGTATATCCGGTTCTACAATCTCCGTAACTACGACCGAATCAACGTCAGCGGTTCGCTCGTGCAAGCCGAGCAGAGGAGTGGTGTCGACTATGAAGATGCTCGCAAACAGCATGACGTCAATGTTGTTGGACAGGGTGGCTATGGTCCAGGAGCTCCCGCTCCTCGAAGCGCCTTCGATACCACGGCTCCTTTCCAGCAGTATCAGCAGGGTGCTCGCCAGGTTCCTGGCACCAAGACTGGCTCTGGACGATGGAACAGCGTCAGCTCGTGTTACATGCTTAATGGAGAAGATATCCGTAACGTTCCTTGGGATGGCCCTCCTGAGGCTGAGATTGACGCGTTTGTAACTGAGGAGCTCTACGTTCACTCGAAGGTATGTTTGTTCTACCCTTCCTGGATCCATGCATGCACTAACAGGCACAGGTCATGATTGCCGACGACCGCGTGGTTGTCTGCGGTTCTGCCAACTTGAACGACCGGTCTCAGCTTGGTGATCACGATTCTGAGATTGCGATTATCATTGAGGACTATACTCCTCTGCAGTCCACCATGAATGGCAAGCCCTGGACGGCTAGCCGGTTTGCATCTTCCCTGCGTCGCCAGCTGTTCCGCAAGCACCTTGGCCTTCTGCCACCACAGGACTACCAGCGCCCCGATGCCAACTCCGAGCCGGTTGGTGTGCCCAACGACTTCGACTTTGACGCTCCTGAGAGCCGGCTTGTGGCAGACCCATTGGCGGATACCCTCCATAACCTCTGGAACAGCCGGGCGAACACGAACACTGAGGTATTCCGCAAGGTGTTCCACTCCGTTCCGGATGACTCCGTACGCAACTGGTCCACGTATAAGGAGTTCTATGGGTACTTCTTCAACAAGGCGGACAAGCAAGCGTATGGCGAAGAAAGGGATTCGCCACCCGCCCGGTATCGGTATGGACACGTTGTGCGGGATGACTTCCCGGGTGGTCCGGAGGGAGTTCGGCAGGTCAAGGAACTGCTCAGTAAGGTCAAGGGTACGCTCGTGGAGATGCCATTGATGTTCTTGATTGAAGAGGACGTTGCGAAGTCGGGTTTGGCATTGAACGATATTACGGAGCCGCTTTACACATGATTCTAGCTACTGTAGCTTTTTTTGGTATATTGCGTGGATTCTTTCCATTGAGGTCCTATCTGAATGAGTTTCTAAATGAATTTGAAGTTTCTTTTTGGGATATTGATGCATTGGTTCATTCATTCATTGAACCTTTTAATTTTTGCGGATAGCTTACCAAACCTGGTTTCTTGATGCCAAGACTCTTTCATCTTTTCTATATTGTTCTTGGAACAACAATATCCAGACACTTCGCCCTGGCCGGGGACTGTGCCTCCTGTATGAACTACTGACTCGAAATCCCCACTATTTTTCTCCGTCCCCCTCGCTGGGCCCGAGATAGGAAAGTATGTCGCTGTACAGCGGCATATGTGGGCCACGTGCCGCGGGACAGAGAAGCCGCCGACTGAGATACGGGGATCTGGGCCCGCTGGATACGATGCGTTAAACATCCAATGCAAGCATGGTACTGGACAGAGATAATCCACCGAATTCATCGAGTTGCACTGAAGAAAGAAAGGCAATGTTGATCCATCTTGCCTTTGCCACGATCCCCCCATTCACTCTCGGGGACCCGTCGTCGTGATTGGCCCCCGCGTCAAGAACAATATCAAGAACGCCCCGAGGCCGTGGGCCAGTCAATGCATTCACTGCATCCCGAATTTAGCATTGACCTGTCAACTCCAATCTGGCTCCTTTCTTTGTTCTGGGTCTCTGTATCGATCTTTGGCCACATGAACTGGTGGTGCTGAATGCTTCCAATCTCGACAATCTATCTCCAACAGAATCAACTCGGGATGCACTATTCACTGGCCAGACCAGCCCTGGAGACAGAGATATAAAGGCCCCTCGAATCCTCCGGATCACTCCTTCTTCTCCTCATCAACCACTCTCATCTACAAACAACCAAATCTTCTATCCAAACCAATCTTCCTTCCAGGAAACCCAATCAATCAACATGTCTCCCTCCGTCAAGAACACCGCTATTGTCAAGGGTATGCCTACTCCCAATCACCTCCTTTCTATCAAATAGACAAAAAGACTAACATACCAAAGCTTCCCCCGGCGGCGGCTGCGTTATCATGTAAACGCGCCCCAATAACCCTCCCCCGAGCAAGAATTCCACTACCACACCAACCAACTCGTTAACCACCACACTTCAAGACCAAACATGACCAACTCGGCTTACTTCTCGCGTTTCGTTCTACCCTACCCTTGACACTCGTCAGGGGCCTCTCAAACCATGCTCAGAAAATCCACAAAAAAGAAAGAAAAAACCTCGAACCCTTGGGAGGAAGACCAACGGGCCCGTTGGACAGGGGATGACTGGTTGTTTGTGTACCTACCTCCTTTCTTCGCTATCCTGTTCGCATCCGCTCCTTATGTGGTCTTGTCGTCGTCTTGGTTGCTGGGAATTCTTAGTCATGTCAGGATGGGATAGTTTGAATTTCATACATACTTTGGGATTTAAAAATACTTCTTCACTTTCCACTGTAGGATTAGATTGTAGGGCTGTATACTCTGTATGTAAATATGGTAAGGTACGTTAGTGGTGATACAGTGATACCATGGTTCTAAGTTTAGTCTAGCCTGTTACTGGCCGCGTTGTGCATGTTCATCCCCTGGTTTCTGTCATGATACCCGTCCAGGGATTGTTTGCTTTACCTTGGTCCCTGGATCTTGGGGTTGTGCACTTTTATATCTAGATATTATGAGGTGGGAGATCTGTTGTTCTTTCATTGGCAAGGATATGTTTTCCGGATATTTTGATTGGGAAGTCTGGTGGAATAGTATGTATGTATGTAGCCAGGATGTTCACTATAGAAAAGTGTTTGATCACCACATTTTTCTTATTTTCTTTTTACCTTCTTCTTTTCTTTCTTGTAGGAGAAAGATCTAGTCACAGTTGTCGGTTGTTTGAGGCCGTAAGAGGGATGCTGTTTTCTGTGAGGGGTGGAGGATAGATGATGGTTCATATATAGATTGCGACTTGCAGTGAGCCCGGCTTAGTATTGTTAAATGGTGGCCACGCTACTAACATTAGCGTATGGTTCAATACGGTTGAGTATTTTAATAAATATCTTGATGTGATATATATTTGCACAGGTTTTATTTGAGGTTCTGGCAACAGGATCTGTAAGATGTTTGAAAAAGATGTTTGAAAAAAGGCTTGTCTTGGTTTGTAGTCACGAGTTCATCTGTATCCTGGTCATGTATTTACAGCAGAGACAAGGGAGGAAATCAAAAATATCAGATGCAAGTATGCCGTTTATTTACGGAGCAGTCTCCTTTCGGATCTTGTCAACCCTCGCCACGTCATCCATGCTTGGCTCCTGGAGCTCGTCATCGGCGCCAACGAACGCATCACTCACGGCATCCTCCACCTGTTCTACAGCATGGGAGACGAGGCCCACGGACCGAGCCATGCCTACCTGGCACATGTTCTCGCCGACGGCAGATTCGATCTTTCCGTCGCCGCCGTTCTGGGTGAGGTCACTCTCGAAGGCGTGGAGCAGAGACTTGAGAGGCTCCAGGAAGCGGTTGCGGAAGTAGATGTAGGTTTTTTCGAGTTGGAGTTGAGCACGCAGGGTAGAGGATGAAAGGAGTATGTAGTAGAGGCTGAGGGCGGCGTGGATGGAAGGTGTGAGGGTTTGAGAGAACTTGATCCATGATGCTACGATATCGGACGAGACATTGAGGAGTAGCTCGGAGGAGTTAAAGAGTAAGGGGAAGAGGACGGAGAAGTAATGTGGGTTGATAAATGTGTCGGACTCCGGTGAGCTGGAGAGCTTTTTGTTGGCGTCAAGAATTTCATCTTTCAGCACCCTATAGCACTGTCCCTGATCAGTTGGAAACGATCATCCTCAAGAACCTGACGGATCGTCTTGAAGCGGACAATGTGAGACGGGTGACTATGGAGAATGGTTCCAGGGATCCGCCTAATGGAGTTGTAACTTTGTCGCGTTGTGCAAGCAGTTAGAGACAAGATGAAGCGTCGGAACTCTATTTCGTTGGATGGCTCTCCGACTGAGCGTTGCATAGAAAAGACGGTCAGTGTCAGAAGAGAGTCCAATAGTGCCTGAGGTTGCCCAAAGGCAATTTCGTCCGGCTTATCGTGCCCACCAACAAAGTTGTCAAATATCTGAGCCAGCTCAGGGAAGACGGCAATCGGAGTTACCTGACCCGACGAGAATAGTTCGGCCATCGCAGCTCGGGCAGCCAAAAGAAGTAGAGCACCGTGCCTTTCAAGCGGAATCTCTTCCACGTTCCTAGGTGGTTCATCGAAGTCCAGTGGCTGGGGATGTTTGTCCGGCGGCTGCGAGACGACTGCGAGAAGCTGCGTGTCGTCCAGCCCGAAGTCTCGAGAAAGAGCCTACAAAGTCAGACACTGCATCCATTGGCACACAGAGTGGACCTACCGTTATTTTCCCCATAATCATGTCCCTCTCCCGTAGGTCTTTGTTATTGGCAAATACTTCCGTCTCTGACACTTGGCCCGCCAGATGCCTTGGCTGAAGTTTCTCTTGCAAACGAACTGTCCAAGACATTCCTGGATCCATAGGCCCCGAAAGACTCAGTATGTAGGACTTTATCAGCTCAATCAGACCGAATTGCAGGAATCTCTTGATGAGCGCCGGCTCGTTGTTACTCGGGTTCGGCGATTGGACCTCTGCTTCTGGGTCCGGCGCAGAAGCTTCGGACACTCGCAGTATGCTGGACTCGCTTGCAGCACGGGGTGGTGGTGCAGGCCGCTTGGAGGGAGACACGTCTCTGAAAAACTCCAGAAGGGCAATGGTTGTCTCGTTCGTCGGCATCAGAGTATACGCTTCCAATACAGCTTGTAGAGAGGTTGCGAAAAAGCGGCTCGGGGATTTCGTCTGGATGCGGGAATGAAGAACGGATAGCATGGCAACAAGAGAATTGAACTTGATGACATGTCGTGGGAGGGTATTCTGTATATTCGACTTCGCGGCATCTCTGTCGGTCGCATCTTTTTGTTCCGCATCGGCGAATTCTGTATCATCAGTAGGAGAGGGCTCTGCTGTCTCGTTCTCTTCATCCTCGTCTTCGTCCTCGTCCTCAGGTTGCAGTTGCATCAAGGCTTCGGACACCCTCAGGATGACCTCTCGAGGATTACCCAAGCGGGCGATATCCTGAAGACACTCGATTGACTGAGGAAGCATGGGCAACAGAAGCTGAACCAGATCCCAGCCAATGTTGGTTGTCAGGACCTCATCCTGCAAGAGCTTGTGGAGAATGGGCAAGCGAGCGGGGGTCAATTGGTACTCCAACAAGGTCAGGTAAGTGAGGTAGTCAGTGGCCGGAGGCAAGGCCTGAATGATAGGGTCTTCTTCCTCGGCCATGATAGTTGAAATAGCACCAATGCAATGCGATAGTGGGATGTGGAGGGAGGGAGGAAGAATAGGACTCAGGAGTCTAGATCGACCGGAGTGAGTGCGTAAGCGCGGGACAGTTTGATACACAAATTATGCACGGACCCTATGATGTCATCCCTTCCCCTGACAACTAAGATTTAATATGGGAAGAGAACGAACTCAACTTATCGATAAGAAAACAAACGGTGGGAGACGATAGGGCATTTTCAAGTCCTTAGGTACCTACCTGTGGCATCATATTATTATTCATCACGTTACTCCGTCCAAACCTGGTATAATGCGTTTGTTGAAGAAATGGATTTGATATATATATATATATATATATTGTGTCTAGAAGGATCGCCCAGCAAGTATAAGAAAATTTTTAAGAACAACGAAAGTACTAATATCCTCTCCCCCGGGCGAAATAAGAGCAATGTGCATGCGCCATAGAGAACCCGAGGACTGCCGTGCCATGAAGTAGACGTCGTGTCTAGGTACTACTCTAGTATAGTAGAGTTGCATCTTCTCATTTCGGACTTAGATTCGGAAACCCATCGCATCATGTGACTCTAATCACCTGACCACGAAGGGATACCAGTAATTTGGATTATTCAGGAATTAAGATTCCAGCAAATGAAGGGGGGCGGGTGGCTTATTTGAATGTCGACGAAAAGTCACTAGACTAGATGCAATAGTGCTGACGATCTCTATAAATGAGGAACCAGCCAAGGATGCATAAGAATGAACCATGGTGGTCAGGGGGACGTGCACAGTGGTTATGAATTTATGAAAGGATTCGAGGGCATAAGGGAGATCTCCCACGATCGGCCTCAGATCATTCCATTTATTAAGAATTTAACTGTCACACAAGTGTAACTGTTAACGTTTGACAAATTCGCTTATTCTTATTTTTGTGGGAACAAACAAGGCAAGTATGTAAAACTGGCAGAAGTAAGCAAGGCAAGAGGAAAAATAAAAATACGTAAAATTAAGAAAACAAAAAAAAAAAGAAAAAAAAGAAAAAAAAGAAAAAAAAGCCCACGGGAGGTGCCGATAAACCCGAAGTCCACAGGGAAAGATGACGCTGGAAGCCAACGATGATTGGCGGTAGCAGGTTCTAGCTTCATCAAGGCAGATCCGCCTTGAACACTACCACATCCGCGCTCTACCGAAAGCCATCCTTCCCACCTTCAATTCCCTCTCTTCGGCTGCTCCGGCGAAGCTCTCTCCTCTTATCCTCTCTCCTCTGTATAATACGTTCCGGTAAATTTCTTGGTCCAACTGCGTGGTTCGCTTTCCCTCTTTGGGACTGAATTGAATCCGCCGTGTACTTTGCGCGTCTATTGTTCGATTTCCTGGTCCCTCCTTGATTGAAGCTCCACGTCGAGCCAGAACCTCGCGCGCTGTTCTGTCTCAAGTCTGGACGCCTACGGTGCCTGCCCTTGAATAATCATAATACTCGTATAAGTGGAGCAGTCTCGGGGAACCACGCGACTGCTCTCCACCCTACGTCCGAGGAGTCAGAAGCCAGAAGCATAACAACGACTCTCAAGAAACATTGAAAATACCTGTTTCTCAGACGCGTCGATCCTGCTTCCGAAATATACAACGCAATGGCAACCGAAATGCAGTCCTTTTATACGCCCTCGACCTCGACGCACATCTCCTCTCACGCTCCAGCCGCGGTCGACGAGCTGATTAATAAATACTCTTCCACCATGTCGGGCTCTGCGAACCCAAACTCCTCTAGCATCAGCCATATGATGATGAAGAGCCCTCGCCGGAATGTCATACAGCGGTTTGCTGATCGTATTCGCCTCGAATACTACCGGTACGAAGTCACATTCGGACTCTACGTCATGACCCCGGGCGAGAAACTCGTGGCCAACTCCTTCGTGATGGTGGTGCTATCACTGCTTTTCTGGGCCCTACTGCTGTATTTCCCAACACTGCTCTACCAGAAGCTGACCCGCCTCGTATGGTTGTTGACCGGCCATAGCAGCGAGGAGATGGGAGCCGCTCTGGGCATCTTGGAGACTCATGTTGGCTCTCTATCTTCATCGTTTTCTGGGGATAGTGCGTTATAAGCGAGGCTGAACCAACGCGCATGGTATAAACATATATCTCAAAAACTATATGTTCTTTGATATTCCTTCTGCATCGGTGCTTTCGTATCGATGACATGAGGCGTTGGAAATCATTCGTGGTGGTACGTCTCGTTCAGCCTACTTCATGTCACCGTGCAAGCTAACAATGTTTTGTTCCGTCCCTAGATCATTACATATACTTTGTTCTTTATTGTGGAGTTAGCACGGGGCGTTTTGGTCTTCGCCTATGTTGGAAAGCGGCTCGCCGCAAAGATTTAATGAATTGAATGGTAAGGACTGACTTATAATGTGAGCACGAGTACTTCCGGGCTTGACAAGAGATAATGTGTACTCGAAGCTTGAGTGTCCAGCGGGATCTAATGCTAGTTCGCTTGGTCGGAGATCCGCCTTTTTTTTGTTTCCTTACATATACCTTTTGACTTCTTGACTGCCGGAGCAACTGTGGATAAGTCAAACACTGTTGACTACTACATGGTCATTGGTACACGCTTAGTAATGCTTAATGTCAAAATACGAGCCTGTGTACAATTAACCATATTAGATGTTAACGTACATGGGTGTTAATTTACATGAATAATGCACTGAATTAGGGGAGCTAGGAAGGACGAGTTGTATAGAAAATGCAATCAATTATCGCATCGCAAAAAGTTGTAGTTGGTTAACGCATTACGTCTGGGGGCAGGGAAAAAAAAAAAGAAAAAAAAAAAAAAAAAAACCAGTCAGGGAGAAAAAAGTTAAATACGAAGTACACCTTCAATAGGAACAGGACCGGAGTAAACACGAGGCTAGTGGTGGAGATAGAACCACACACCAGCCACAAAAGACAGCTCAGCCTTAGGGATTTGTTCGTCATCCCAGGTGTGCGTGGCCGGGGGTTTCAGTAGTTTAATTGCTTGGGGGAAATTCATATCGTGACCACTGACGACGATAATTGATCGGCAACCCCAAAAATAGTGCCACGCCCGTGAATTCGACTGCCTAATATCTCAAACTGACAACTTGGGTGTTTTCTCAATAGTGAATAGAAAGGCACATCATCTTCCCGTTATCCTTTTCATTGTCTTTTGTTTTCTTATTTTTTTTCCTCTCCCCTTCTGCATAGAACTCTTCTCTCCTACCGTTTTCTTCGTTGGACACTATTCTCCACTCTCCTTTGTTGCGTGCACATAAGCTTCCGCGGTCATTCTCTAATCCCCGATAGCTTCTAAGGGGTTGCCTGGGTTCCCACCATTGTCGTCAGCCGCCAAAACGTGGCCGTGCATGGTTCAGAACGTCTGATCATCAGCTCTTCCTGCCCGTCAACTCGGTCAGACCGTGGAATATATTTCCCCTTTCCCCGCAAGAAAACCATAATTCAACTTTCTTATCACATCGGCGAGGTCCGCCGGGAAGAGAAATTTCTTTGCGCCCCCTTGCCTAATCGGCTGACCATTCAAGATGGCAGCGAACAGCTACTACAACGCTGGGTACAGCAACAACCCACCAACATACGAACAAGCGATCCCTCATACAGACTCGTTCCATCGACAATCACCAGCGCCCACCTACACGGCTCCCAGTGGACGCCCCTATGCTGACTCCGAACCCCCTCACATACGAGACAGCCAACATTCCTTAGGGTCCGATCAGGGCGCATATGTAGCGGGTGGAAGATTAAACGAAGGAGATCACTATGCTGAGAACATCCCCCTGAAGGAGAACACTCAATACTCAAACGGGCCACCACCGGCCAACTGGATGCAGCAACCCACGCATTACCCCCCAGACCCTGCGATGTTGGAATCAGCCCCCAATAGAAGTAGAGGAAAGAAGGGCTTCTTTAAGAAGAAAATCCCCTTCGTCACCTATATCCTCACTGTGGTACAAATCGCCGTGTTCATCGCAGAGTTGGTCAAGAGCGGTATGTCAGACCACGAAGAATTATAAGATCCAGCTAGACTAACTGGCTCTGTAGGACAACTCACAGGAAACCCGATTCAGACGAAACCTCAATTCAATCCGATGATAGGACCCTCGGCGTACATCCAGATTAATATGGGAGCGCGGTACGCGCCGTGTATGAAGAATGTCGACAAGGTACAGAACTCTCCGGTCGACTTCCTCATGCCCTGCCCAAATTCAACAACGAATGCTTTGGAGTGCACCTTATCCGAACTGTGCGGCTTCAGCGGTGTTCCAAATCCGCACCTCGGTGGTTCCCTCGATGATCAGCCGGAGCCCAACCAGTGGTATCGGTTTATCGTCCCTATATTCCTCCACGGTGGTTTCATTCACATTGGCTTCAACTTGCTTTGTCAAATGACGATGGGCGTTGACATGGAGCGGATGGTCGGATGGTGGCGGTATGCCTTGGTTTATTTTGCCAGTGGTATCTGGGGCTTCGTTCTTGGAGGTAACTACGCGGCTCCATTCCAACCGTCTTCGGGCTGCTCCGGTGCTCTGTTTGGCATCCTTGCACTTTTCATCTTGGATCTTTTCTACACCTGGAAAGACAGACCGTCGCCATTTGTGGAACTGATTATCATGATCCTTGGTGTGGGAATCTCTTTCGTGCTGGGTCTGCTACCGGGCCTGGATAATTTCTCCCATATTGGTGGATTTGTCATGGGCCTGGCCCTCGGTCTCTGCATTATGAGATCGCCTAACGCACTTCGGGAGCGTATTGGGCTCGCCCGTAACCCCTATGTGGCGATGAGTGGTGGTGCCGGTCCCACTTCTGATGAAGAGAACAAAACCACGACTGGCCCAAGTTTCGTCAATTTTTTCAAAGGACGGACGGGCCCGAACTCGTCCTCCGAAACATCTGGTCCCTTGGGTTTCTTCAAGGGCCGGAAACCACTGTGGTGGGCATGGTGGTTGGTCCGGGCCGGAGCTTTGGTTGCAGTTATCATTGGGTTCATTCTTTTGATTGTGAACTTCTACAAGTACCCCAAGTCTAATTGCTCGTGGTGTTATAGACTGAGCTGTTTGGTAAGTCATGATGTTCTCGACTGCATCATTTGATCAATAGCTGACGAGTAATAGCCTGTACACGATTGGTGTGAACAAGGCATGGAGCCCTTTACAATTACCAATACTACCACGAACGGCAACTGATTATGGGCACTCTCCCTTCCGCCCTTGGCTACTTATTGATGACTGTCGCATTTGTTTACATAACGATTCCTCCTGCCTTCATAGCTGTAAACTGTTTTGGGCTCATACTCTGTTTCGGGACATCTTGACGGCATTTGACTGGCGGCGTTGAGTGATGATTGCCGCTTATTTCCTGTGCATTTATTTATTATACCCTTGCAAGGGCATCGCGTGTATAATCACTTTAGTGATGAGCGTCTCCCTCTCTGAGACGAATGGGATTTGATGACTACACTCTATACCTGTAACTATTGAAATTTACGATGTGGAGGGAAATACAGCCATCTAGATAGGCATACACACACACACTAGACTATCCGCTGTATCTTTTCCATTACGCGTACTTTGAGGTCGACGTATTACAAACGTGGCTGAGCCACGGATAGCACAGCCATGAAGTCACGCTAAATTTATCCCGTCTGGTCTTGACACGGACCGGCTGTGTGCCGTAATTTATACCGCGGGCGGTAATTACGGACGATTCCACTCCCGGCGATCTTGAAGGATGATCGATCCGCTTCAACCATTTGATTTCGTAATTTCCTTTTCTTTCTTTGGCTGCTCCAGTGCTATTTCACTCTATCAGTTGTTGTCTGTCTTGCTTCTTTCGCTCCAGTATTGCTGCATCTTCTGTATTCCACTTAATCTCTAACTTCGTACCGTTTGCCATCAGCCCTTGGATCTTCCGTGGCCTACCGTGGAGTTGAATGAAGCACTGTTGGCGCGATGAATTAAGTCTCTTAATCCAAATAGATTTGATGATAAAGCCATCGACTGGCTCCATAATACACCTCAGATACTCACCATGGCGACTTTAGCCGCCTCACCGCCATCGTCACCATCCTGGCCCAAACGACGTCCTCGGGCCTGGGCTCTCCGATGTGAACGCTACTGCTGTGCGGCGGCGTCTTTTTTCCCACTAGCATTCGTCTACGGTTTGACAACATGGGCGGTCTATGTTGAAGCCAGTATTGGTCTAAGGCCTTCGCGAAATTCTTGGATTGGTAGGTTACTCCGGTGATACTCGGAACCCGCGAGAACGCGCATACTGACTGCTTTGGGCCACCAGGCTTACCGACGTCGATTATCGGCATTGCCCTCTATATTTGCCTGAACGCCTCATATAGCGTTGCGGTATTCACAGACCCCGGCTCACCACTGTCGGCCAAGAGTCGACATGAATACAGCGCTCTGCCGGTTACGGAATTGCCAGAGTTCACTTCATACACCGTGAATTCAGTGGGAGAGTCCCGGTTCTGCAAAAAATGTCAGTGTCCTAAACCGGATCGAGCGCATCACTGTTCAACGTGTAAACGATGTGTGTTGAAGATGGACCATCATTGCCCGTGGCTGGCGACGTGTGTTGGGCTACATAACTACAAGGCCTTTCTCCTGTTTCTTATTTACACATCGATATTCTGCTGGGTTGATTTCGCGGTGGCGTCGAGTTGGATATGGACCGAGGTGCTCAATGATACGCGGTATATGGACACCATATTACCCGTGAATGTGGTATTGTTGGCCATACTCGGAGGGATTATTGGGTTGGTGCTGTCGGGGTTTACCATCTGGCATATTAGTCTCGCCGTGCGTAACCTGACCACGATTGAGTGTTTAGAAAAGACGCGCTATGTATCTCCGTTGCGGAAAGCGCTGGATCGTCGCCGCTACGAAAACATACTGGGTAACGGTCACAATGGCCAAGAAAACGTCGAACCAGAAAGCCTAGGGCATCGGCTTCAGGACTATGGCAATCAGATCTTGGACGCTCATGCAAATGCAATCCCCGGCGTCACCCGGCCAGAGGAGGGAGAGGAATCCCTGCCCGCATACTCTCAGTCGGGTCCTGGAGGCACTCCCGCTCAACAGGCCCTGTCGCGATCATATGCGGACTTGGAAAGGCAGCGCGAGCATGATCGATACCATAGTTATCTTGACGAAGAGGATAATGAGAAGATGCCGAACGCTTTTGATCACGGATGGCGTCGGAATCTCTTACACTTATTTGGTGAACGGCCACTCCTCTGGCCCATTCCTGTGCGCACTACTACTGGTGATGGTTGGCATTGGGAGCCCAGCTCGAAATTTTTAGAAGCGCAAGACAGGGTGCGACAGAGACGAGAGCAGGCGGCTAGTGATGAACAACAATACTATCGGGATCTCTACCAGCGTAACATGCACAACAATCGGAGCTGGCTTGGGACGGACGCAACACCGTCGATGTACGTACCCCACCAGCCGTCGAACGTCTATCAGGAAACCGAGCGCCCTGCAACGGGTGTGTCAATGAAGACCCTGGCACCGATGTCGCCGCGTCCAAGGCCGGGGGACAGTGATTTTGAAGATATAGAGGAGAGTCATGATTTGCTGCAACCCCGTAATGATCAGTTAGGTGCATCTCGAAAACCTGGGTTGCCCGCCCAACGACGTGGACAATCGAATGAATGGAGAGATTGGGATTAGCCCCGGTTGCAGCTTACATTTAGCGTCTTTTCTTTGCTTCTTTTGTTTATGTGCATACTATGATTTATGTAGGTATACTGTGTTCATATTACACGTGGATGTCCTCGCGGGCGCAATGGTTGCATGCTAGGCTGGAAGCCAGGAGTTATGTCAATATCAGTTTTAAATTATAGATATATCATGCTATGCTTTGTTATATTTTGTTATATTCTAAGATGTGTCCGTACTGGTGGACAACAGGTGGTGGCCATTGTTGATGCCTGAGAGCCACGGCAACAACAGCGCGCAACGTCATTTAACGACTGGACAGTTGGCATCAATTAATTCTGCAGCCAACCTCATCCTTCCGGTCAAATAACTCCGCGATGGCGTACATATAGTCGCTGCATACCCTTTAGTTCCACAGCATATGCGCCATTCACCAAATCACTCGCCAACCGCAAACCCCTAAACAACAATACCAGCCACCACCCAATCGCAAATCCATTCATCCGAACCATACTGGGCCCAACAAAGAAAGGCCCAACTCACAACACACTCAAAATGTCCCCATCCCTGCGTCGACTAATGAAAGAAGCCGCCGAGTTATCCGCCTCGCCTTCCCCACACTTCCACGCTCAACCCGTCTCCGACTCCAACCTCTACGACTGGCACTTCACAATCGCCGGTCCCCCCGCTCCCTCACCATACGCCTCAGGAATCTACCACGGCCGCATAGTCCTACCCCCAACGTACCCACTTCGGCCTCCGAGCTTCCGCTTCCTCACCCCCACGGGGCGCTTTGAAGTCAACCGGGAAATTTGCCTCAGTATCTCGGGGCACCATGAGGAGACCTGGCAGCCTGCGTGGGGGATTCGGACCGCGCTGCTGGCGATAAGGAGCTTCATGGACGGAGATGCGAAGGGGCAGGTCGGCGGCTTGGATGTCTCGGAGGAAGTGAGAAGGGATTATGCTCGCCGGAGTGGAGACTGGTGCTGTGAGGTTTGTGGGAAGAGCAACGAGGCCATTCTAGGGGAGTGGCGAGATTATTGCAAGGAAAACGGGGTAGAGGTTGGGAATATGGGCGACGAGAGGGTTGTCTCTCCTGTGGCTAAAGAGGAGGGTGAGAAGGGTGATGCCGATGCTCCTCAGCAGGAGGAACAGTCTGAGAAGATAGCGCAGGATGAGCCCGTAGCCGTATCACAGCAGCCAGTGCAGCAACCGTCGGCTCCGGAAGGAGGTGTTCAGGCTGTGTTTACTCCTCCTCGTCCTTCTACGTCTGTCTCTACTTCTGCGCCGGCACCAGGACCAGACGCGCAAACACATTTGGCGGCGGCGGCACCGCGTCAACCTGTTGCGCCGTATCCTGCGCAAGCTGTTGCCTCGCAGCAGTCCGAGGATCCCTGGCTGGATCGAGCTATTATCGGCGTGTTGGTTGCGCTGGTGTTTATGATTCTTCGGCGAATGGCATATTCCGAGGAGTAGTTTGGATTGTCCATGGTTTGTTTGGCTTTGGGTGACGACGGGTTCATCTATGTTTGGATTTTGGGTTTATTTGAGCGGTTGGCGTTTGGATGGATAAATGGATTTGGTACTTTGGAGTGAATCTACAAGACAGGCTTCTTGATACTATCTCCATCTTTCAATTTAGTGGATTTTATGGAGTATAAACGGTTATTTACAACCCCGAGACGTATTATAGTGGTAATTGGGTTATTGATATCTAGTAGGGAGCCCATTGACATACTCACCCAAGCATCTCGAAAAGCAAACTCCGCAGCAAGAGGAAGAGTCTCTATGCGTGTATTCAGTCCAATTTGGCAATTTCCGGACCATCATCTACCCCTTACACCAGTATACAGATTATCTGATCCGCCAGATGCCGAGCGAACCGTGCCTTATCCAGCTCACAATTGGCCTCGCACCGCATATAATAACCCCCGATCCACCTTTTCACGCAGATCTCGACTGACTCCCGATGGTATGAAATCCAAGTATCCACTCGCTATCCCCGAACCAACATGTCCGAGTCCGAAGACCGAGGCCGCATACTATAGAGATAAATATTGCAACCTAGACACCCCTATTCAATTGAACGTATCACAATAACTTATATACAATAGAACCAAACGAGGAAGGAAGAAAAAAAAACCAAAATGTCGATCGACGATACCCCGAACCCCCTCCGCATCGTGATCATCGGAGCTGGTATTGCCGGACTCAGCGCAGCTATTGCTCTGAGCAAACAGGGTCATCATGTCATTGTACGTATTCGCCCTCTTATGGCTATGCATGAAGACGCAACAGACACCTAACGGACTCAACTCAACAGGTCATCGAAAAGTCTAAGTTCGCACGCGAAACGGGCGCAGCTATCCACATTCCCCCGAATTGCACGGCGCTGTTGCAATGGATGGACGTTGACCCGAGGGACTTTGGAGGGACTTTGGTTGAGCAGGTAGAGTCCTTCTCGCCTAGTATAATATTGAATCATGCAGTGTGATATGGGCTAAGATAACCGAAGATCCATCGATACGATTCCAACGGCGAACTGAAGTACCAGAAAGAGCTCTCCGGGATCCGGGGACAGTGGCAGGCTGTATGTACATACATCTATACATCTCTACCCAGATTACCTTTGTAAACACCATAATCAAGGCTAACAAAATAGGAATGGTACCTCGTCCACCGCGTCGACCTCCACAACTACCTCAAAGAACGCCTCAGCCGAACCCAAGCTACCCTCCACCTGGGATGCAAAATCACCAATATCAACATCGAAAGCGACCAACCCACCGTAACGCTCGACGACGGCCGTGAGTTCACTTGCGATCTCCTACTCGGCGCGGATGGCCTACATGTACGTCTTTAACTAATCCACACACATCATGGTAGGAATAAAACTAACCAAACCAGTCCATGCTCCGCACCCACATCATCCCCAACTTCCCCTCCGCCTACCCAGCAGGAAAGTCCACCTTCCGCTGGCTGCTCCAAACAGAGGAGCTGAAGAACCACGAAGCCACAAAAGACGTAGTCGGGGACCCGGGCGTATTCGTTGAATGGGCAGGTAACGACAGACGAATCGTTGCGTACCCGTGTTCGAACAACAGGATCTTCAATCTGGTCGGGTTCATGCCGACGGCTGAGTCGGGCACCTACGGTGAAGGTACGCGGTATACCATGCACATAGAAATCAGTATTACGGATATGACGAGAACTGACGATGAGAACAGGCTGGCAAGCAGTTGGCGACAAATCGGCCCTGGCAAAGGGCTTCTCGGGTTTCGCTCCCTCAGTTGAGAAGATGATCGATATGGCCGGTGATGATCTTAAGGTGTGGGAGTTGGCCGATATGGAGAGAATGCCGACTTGGGTTAGGGGCAGGGCTGCCCTGGTGGGTGATTCGGCGCATCCGTTTCAGCCTTGTATGTTCCTTTTTGCTTTTCTCTCTTCTCTTGATGATCGTAGTTGTTGTAGTGTGGTTGATTTCCTTGTTGATATGAAGCTAACCAAATGGAAAAGACATGGGCCAAGGCGCCGCAATGGCCATTGAAGATGCGCTAAGCATCGCTACCCTGCTCCCACTGGGTACAAAGGCCGAGGATATTCCGTCCCGACTAGCGATCTATGTGAAAGCGCGTCAATCGCGGGTTGATTATGTCTTGATGTATACCCGGCTGAACGGAGCAGATGAGAACGATCCGTCTGTGCAGAGGATGACTGGTAAGACCCTGCCTTCTACTTTGCAAAATGACGATGTACATATACTGACTGGCTGTTACAGCTGCAGAGATGGTCAAGGCAATGGGTCTTTGCTTTGCGCATAATGAGATTGAGCATTCGAGGCAGCTTTTGGAGGAGGAAAGGGGGCGTTGATTGTACGAGGTAGGGTTTATAGTACACGAGGTGTTGATGTGGGGTAGGGAGCTTATGTTTTATCTGTTCATCTGGTGTATATATGATGTATATATGTGGGGTTCAACTGTTACCTGAATATAGCTGGTACAGAGAAGCATGGCTTTAGAGGACTTTCTACAATGTCATTGATGTCGGTAGATTATCAAGGCAAGAAGCATAACAATCGTAGAGTGGCTTAGGTAACCATGATCTGCGTGTCACATGTTGCACGACAAAAGCTTGGCACGTGCCCAGACCCAAATCCGGTAAAGTGTAAATCGAGGGCTATGGAGAAGACAAGGGATGGTGTTATTGAAAAGAATAGTATGGAGTAAAATTATCTTGGAGTACAAGCAAATTATTGTTTAATCAAGGCCCCATTGCAGGTAAAAATCAATCATCGGATTTAGATCGGAGACTAGCAGCAGTGATGCTGTGAAAAGTCAGGTCGCCCATGTGTTGTACTATATATATATTTTTTTGAGGTATGTACGTTGGTTGTCAAAATATTTAGACGCTGAACAACCACGCAACCCTGATCGACCATACTGCACATCTATTGGCTCGCTATAACAACAATCGATAGATTCCAGCACTGTCGAAGTACATATTATTCACATAGCACATGATATCGTCCTTCAAACGAGGTCTTGGCTACATGGCATTACGGCTCCTGATGCACCGTCGATAACTATGGATAGGTCGTGCTTGGGCACGTTGGAAACCCGGGGGACGTGAAGACCAGTCCCTCCACCGAACTACAGAATATACATGGGAAAACATTTGTCTTCGTGGATAATGGCTCATATTGACCGGATATCTAAGAGCACGAAGAGAATGGTGGCGGGACGAGATGTCTTGATCGTGACAAAAGAAGCATTCTTTGCCCAGGGGTGCAATTCAGCGATTTACAGAACTGCTAAAACATGACAGAAATGCGAGAAAAGGCCTGGCGTATCATTTCTCATCCTAAAGATGCCCGGAACCTATTTCCCCAAAGTAACTATTCCTGAAGTCTTTTGACGCCATTACCCATCCTTGAAAGTAGCATCGTCACCACCACCATTCCCTGAGGGATGTCAACCGTTTCATGTCATTTTTTGGTGTTCCCTTATCCGTCATCCTGCACGACTATCTATTTACCGGACGAAGCGGCGGGGACGGTCGGAGACCTGCTGCTGGGAAACCGGGATGACGTTGGTGGGGATAGAGTCGAACTGCGGTTGGTTGTGTTAGTCACCATCATCCGGGATCCGGTAGGAAATAGAGAGATCCATCACATACACCAATGCTCTTAAGGAGATCCTTGGTGTCCTGGTCAACGTCGAGCTTGCCAGTCTCGGAGTGCTGGCTGAAGTCGAGAGCGGAGACCTCAGGAACGTATTGATCCTTACGCTCACGCTCCTCCTCCTGGAGCTTGAAGGAGATACCACGAACGGGGCCGCGCTGGATACGCTTCATCCTATTGAGTTGAAAAAAGTCGGGTTAGTCGCGGGGGTGTTTCCTTCTTTCTTTCGAGACCAGTCCACATTCGTAAATTCAGGCACACGGGATTTCATACAGGTGAGTGGTGTATCCGGCAATCTATTCGAGAAATCCTTCGTCAGTTTCGATGTTTCTTTTCTGCAGTCGACCCGTGGATGAGATTTACCTTGTTGCGCAGGCGCTTGCTGGCAATGATGGCCACCTCATCGCAAAGCTTCTTGTTGACCTCGAAGTCAAGGGTGAGCTTGGGGTAGTAACGCTCAATGATGACCTTGGCGGACCGCTTGACGGTCTTTGTGCGAACGCGACCCATTTTGGCGTATTAGTTGTCGACCTCGAAAGCTGCGATGTTGTTCGGGTGGTTGTGAGGATGGGCAATTTTGGTGTGCATTCCGATTTCTGCCAAGTCTCGCTTAACGGGGTCGTTGGTCAGGTGATTGAAGATCACATGACTATCACCAACTTGCCATGACAGTGGTTCTTCCTTCTCTTGTGGGGGAACATGTGCAGTTCACCTCATTTTATTTACTGGAATTTACTCGAATACTAATTTCGAAAGAATGTTCTTCATCATCATCGTCAAATTTCGAATTATATCCATGTTCTCATTATCGCTGCCGCTGGGCGGTCAGTACAGGGTATGCAATGATGCATACCCGGCCCCAGCCTGAGGGTTCAGGCAGACAGCGTTAGCCCTATCCCACATTATCTTCCAATCGTAAAATCCCTCTTTCCACCACGAACTATTCCTCTTTCGGAAAACTCTCCATCCACCCAATCATCATTGCACATTCATATCAGTCTTTGGATCAGTACTTCTAACTTGGATTGAAGCCTGTCGGACATCACAACCTTTCCACTCCCCCGCATTAATCTAGAACCTCATCTACCTTCCTTTTCTTTTCCATACTCAACTCCCCACCCTCAGTAGCTGAGGTTCAACATATCACCCATATATCATGAGATGAGATCTGATTGCTATACTCAGCGCACGGCGACGTGTTGCAATGGGGCGGTGGGGGACGACTCTCATTCAATCAATGTGGGGTTATAAGAATACTAATAGCAATGTAAAGTTGTAAACATCGCGTTGAAAAGCCACCAGTTAAGAACTATGAGAAATCACTTCTACAGTCTGAGACTGAGGATGTTTCTTCTAAAATTCTTCGTACTAGCCATCCCAGAGATTGTTCTTGTCGCTATTCTACTCGATCAATATATCGCTGTCATGCATCTGACTTGACACTTGAATTTCGTATGATTAGCGATACACTCCGTACTTCTTCAAAGTAATATCCCAAGGTCGAGGACCTGACCCAAAGAGTTACTACCGAGCAAGTTTCAAGTCACTTCAACCTCCAGGCTTCCAGGCCTGCAATGTGCCTGAAATTGCCTAGCGTCAAGATTACCTACCCGAGAATAGCGCACCCCCTTTGAAGAAGTTGGCTCCTGTGACTGTCAATCACGTGCGACACTGACGACAACCTGAAGTCTCTGGCATCCATTGCGGGCTCACCACTAAACCCAGAAAGGCAGCGACTCAAAAACGCCGGCCCAAAAAACCGAGCATTCTGTAGGGTCGGGCCGGTTCTTGCAACGGACTAAACAGTCTTACTTCACCTAACTATAGCCATTGAGAGGGTCAGTTCGCGCTCAGATATATCGAATAAGCGCCGAATTCCAGCTTTCAAACAGCGTGGTGCTATCCGGAGAGCCTTCCCACTACTATATATATTTCCTTCCATCAAGTATAGGAGTTCAATTCCCCAGAAATACTAGTGACGGGTAAACAAAAATCAAATGATACAATAATGCAACTTGGCATCGTTAGAATGAGTCTTCACTTCCTCGTGATCTCTACCTTCGTCGTCTGTTTCAATATACCCGATCGTTGCGCATAAGCGTTGTTCCAGGATCCCTGACAGTGGGGATAGATATTAGCAATATATACTACCTCACCCTAATTACTCCATCCCACCAAACCCAGATCCCCAACGCACGCTGAACCAGCGGAGCCAAGATCCTTAAATAGAATCCCGAGAGGACTCGGCTCCTTCCGGCAGTTACAAACCGACTAGTACAGAGGTTACAATATACAAAGCATGTGTGTGGTGGTATCCACAGAGAGATTGGGACGAAACGCGATTGTCAAGAGGGTTTTAACTTTACCAGAATATGGTTGTCTATGGAAAATTTTAGAATTTCTCTGTACCGAGACACAGGCGTCTCGTGGATGTATACTATAATGGCTGGATACTAGTCTACCAGGCATCACCTTTGTGACGAAACGAATGAGAACTGAGTACACAGAAAAATCAAATACACCCCCCGACTCCCACTCCGGACACCACCTTAACCCCGATAATAATCGCCCCACGATGCACGTTTTGTTTTCAAGGGAAGACTGCTTAGTAGGGAATATCGCAGTTGAGGTAAGCGGCTGCAATAAGGGTTAGTATCATGTTTTTCCTGGAAAGATTTGGGAAAACCTTACACTTGGAGAAGAAAGCATAGCTCTCCGCATTCTCAAGAGCAGAAGCAGTGTCCAAACCATGAATAGCATCATAGCCATACGTCTCAGGACCAAAGATGCCCTTGGTATGGGCCATCTCGTGCAAGCTGGAGGTGGCCTGATCCAGGACACCGCAGGAGTTCGACCAAGCGGGGAACTTGGTGAAGTACGCAGGGCAGGTCCGGATACGCCCGTAGTATCCGTCCGTCTCGCCGTAGGCAGTCATGGTGAAGGAGTGGTTGTCAACGCAGTCAATGCCCTCCGGAGTGCAGTAGTAGCTCACGACACCCTGGTTTCCGTTCGTGGCCTCCGTGGCGATCGTCTCTAAGCGCCCGCGACGCGGTTGCGGGACTGGGCGTCGTTGGTCTTGAAGAAGCTGTAGAAGAGGTTGCCCGAGTAGTCGGAATTGCTGCGGATGAGGTTCGCGCCGGCGTGAGCCATCTGAGCCGCTTGAGCAAGTGCGTTGTCGATCATTTGCTTGCCCTCAGGGCTGCAGTTTTGGAGGGTAGCGCGCGCATCGAGAGGGCTGGCGACAGCGCCTGCGATAAGGGGAAGAGCAACGAGGGTCTGGAAGAAACGCATATTGATCGCTGGATGCAAGAAAAATAGGTAAGGCTGAGAAAGACAGAAGTAAATACTAAAGATTGACTAAGAAGTAATGATCGACAGCCACCAGGGCTTGTAACGAGAGTATGGGAGATAGAAAGAAAGACGATGGGTTTCGAGAAGACTATTGACTCGACGATCGCAAATCGATCTTTTATATCGATTCTGAACGGCCCGACAGGCTGTCGCTGACGGACCCAGCTCCGGCCGTTTCATTATGTTCCATTGATCTGTCGGTAGGTTGTCGTCCCATGTTTCACCATTGTAGTGTCGATCGCCTCCCAATCGATACAGTAAGAAGGCACCCACAGCTATGTCAGACCCACCGGCTCCAGAACTGATTCCCAACTGCTACCAAAGACACAGACGGAACCCTCGAGCGGCGGATAGGGAATTTGTCACGAGCAAGGGGCTCATACCAGCGACTGAAATAGATGCCTCTAGCCTTGTGATGCATTTTTCGCTCTCGCATCCCGTCTTCACTCCACCTCAGCCGTTCTGTATACTCATCGATGCAACTCTGAACGCCAACAGCCAAGACTCCCCTGATTAAAGATCCATGGTCGCGACACGCCACGGATAAGGGCTCCACGTGTGTGGCCAGAACGAAAAATCTCTAGAGCAGTGCTTGACTAAGCGGGAACAAGATTGTTTTTTTTGTCGAATCTTAGACAAGGAACCGGCTTATCTCTCCAGAACACGGAAGATCAACCGAGATATTGATCTTTCAGCCTCGAGTGTTTCTCAAAGGAAGACGTTGAGAGGCGGTGTTCGAGAATGTTACCTTACTTGAAACCCTACTTACCTTAAAAGAATTAGTTAGGGTCTGCCCTCCTGAAACAGTGAGATTTAGAGTTTAGGCTATCCCGATGCCTGAGGTAAAACATCAGACCCTTGTTCGGCTTTCCCGCGGGATACTCCCGGCGAAATGGATCTATCGACTCGACGGCGCGATTTGGACAAAGTCTGAGTGTCCTGTTTAATCTCGGGGATCGCCTTCCGTATAGGGCCAGGGCCAGGGTCTATTCTAGTCGTTTTAGATTCGTAGGATAATTCACGGCAAGTTGTGTGGTGAGGACTGTGAGGACTGTGAATATTAGTAACATATACGGTCTTTGATATTAACTACACCTCAATTACGTGATGGAAATCAAGGCTTTATTATAATACGCTGCGATGTTGGGTCATAACTTGGGTAATCCCGGTTGCTTTCTGCAGAAGTATCGTTTAATGTGCAGCTATACGGGGATCATGGGATTGAATATGGGGCTGCTGGCTGGCGGTGTCTTACCAATTAGTGCGTCTCTTATCCTGAAGATGCCGTCTCGCTTTTCAGTAGCACTTCTATCTTCCTCCTGACTTATATCACGAGTAAAGCTCGTCGCCCCTTTACGACTTTTAGCAGCTACTCAGAGTTAACGACTATCGCCAGCACCGGTAGCTCGTCGATGGGTACTCCAAGCCAGCTACTAATGGAGACGGAGCCTTCCGCGAGCTGCATTGCGCAAATGAAATATGTGAAACATTAATTTGTACCCCATTGTTCTTAATTACCCTTTGTTTTCGTACTTCCTTGCTGATTACATCGATACTTACAGACTCCCATATGCAAGAGAGAAAGGTATCGATTCAAGCAAGGAAACCTTCCTAGATCGACATGCCCGTGCCTTGACTCCAGTCCCTTGCAATTAGCCCCGCATACAGAACATCATTTGCCAGAGAGAAACCCCCTACAAACGACTCTTTATGACCGTCCATGCCGGAAGTAGGGGTGTTCGCGTGCCTGCTTGGCAGACATCCTTAGTGCCGGATCAAATTCAAGAAGGGCATCCAAAAGACGTAATCCATGCCGCTCCAGTCCAGGAATAAGCGGACTATTCCTGTCGCGCTTCCACTTAGGAAATGATGACTTGTAATCCGGGAAAGAAGTAACTCCCGGCCAAGAATCCTCATCCGGGGTACCAAGGAGGCTAGAAGAAATTAAATAAGATTAGCTTGTGACGGGAATGCCATGGAGTCAGGACACAATACCGGAAAATCTTGAAGATCTGATCGATTTCCGAATCGCCAGGGAACAAGGGCTTGCGGGTGCACATCTCGGCAAAGATAGCGCCGCACGACCACATATCTACTGCCGTTGAATATTGGGGGCCGCCTAGAAGGATCTCCGGAGAACGGTACCATAGGGTGACGACCTGCAGTACGATCAGTTACAATGTGGTGATGGGTTTCGGCACAGGGACACGATACCTCGTGTGTATACGTTCTCAAAGGAACGCCAAAGGCTCTTGCCAATCCAAAATCGGCCAATTTTAGACTGCCATCCCGATTGATCAGAAGATTTTGAGGCTTGAGATCACGGTGCAGAATCCGACGACTGTGGCAGAAATAAATGCCCTCGACTAGTTGAGACATGAACTTTTTGATCATGGCTTCTCCTAGCCCCAAATCCATGCTAAGGCCATTTGGGAGAGATTTACCACGTCCACCATCGTTGACAGGAAGAGCGTCCATGTACTTCTTGAGATCGGAGTCTAGATGTTCAAAGACCAGGTAGAGTTTATAGCCCTCTGAGTGGATGTTGAACAACCTAACGATATTAGGATGGTTTAACTCTTTCAATAGAGATATTTCACGGATAGTTGTGCTAGGAACGCCTTCGTCGTCTGTCTCCAGTCGGACCTTCTTCAAGGCGACGATCCGGTTGGGATGTGCAAGCTCACGCGCTTTGTAGACGACACCATAGGTCCCTAGGTATCAGTGTAAGATTAGTCGGGACCCACAGGCGTGTGCTAATGGAGTTCAGGCCACACCTTCTCCAATCTTTTCGATTTTCTGGTATTTCTCCATGGCGGCAGAAGGAGCCGTGACCAATTACCAGGATTAACAGACGTCTTGACAAACGTGGATCAAGCGAAGAATCAGATCAAACAGCTCGTCCAGGTGAGCGACAAGTGTCCCTACAGGATTTATGGCATCAAATACGTACTGACCACCGATGACCTCCGGGTCGCAGGAAATTAGAGCAGGGAAACAAGCGGGAGGTTCAGCTCTGATGGAGGGGACGTTGGGGCTCGCAAAATGGCAAATGAGGGGCGATAAATCACCCTGGACAACGAGACAACGGCTAGCCGAAGCGGGACTATGATTATGTGGTTCAGTATACTTTTGATCTACGAAAAGACCGCCCCTTCAGCCTCAGGCAGCAACTATACGAGACGCCGCCCGGGCCCCTCGAGACTATGAGGTAGAGCGATCCTGTATTCTTCTTCCACAGGAAGAAACAGTCACCCCACGTATTTGCACCATCATTTACTGACCATCGCCCGTTGCTTCATAGGACTGTGTGAGAGAGTATCGTAGCGGGGCCGGATCGCCATGCATCGGCAATGGGTTGGCAGGGAAACCATAGAGTCATGGCAAGTTGCCACAAGGCCACGTTGACCATATCTGAAGGGGCATAAAAAGTCTCCATAACTCTATCCGTATCCCTCTGGTACATCTGTGACCAGATTCTATCATGAGCATCGTGCGCAGTGGCTCATGTCAGGAATATGCGATTTGTCAACAGAATGCATTCCTGATGCAGAACAGCCTGATTTTTGCGAGAAAGAAAGGAAGAAAAGAGACAATCAAAATGAAAAGATGCACTTTTTCAAGGGGCATTTGGCACGTATAAGGAACTATTATGGTGACCGAGAAATCAGCTCGTCTCTTCACAATAATGTTTGCCCGGTGACATGGCTAACGGAATTCAATCGGGTTCGAGTTCACGCGCGAAGCTGGGAAGCGTAGAGCTTTCTAACTTATCATGGGCATCACTTTCTTTAGATCTAGTGAGGAATGAGAATGCAGGTCGCATGACTGCAAGGCTCCCAGCTGTGATTCCTAGGCCTGTTTCTACGTCGGACCATACTGCTACCCCGGTTGAGTCATCTAGTTTCTCCTGTTAGATTTCGAACAAAGTAGTGACCAGAGTCCTTACATAGAAAATTTGTCTTGGACAACAGGCGTACACAGGGCAGTCGGACGATGACAGCTGTAATTGCACTAGAATGATTACTGATCAGTGATGATCCAGTAGAAGCACCGAGGATATCAACTAACAGCCAGCCAAGTCCAAGAAGGACAACAATTCCAACCCTGGTACCGCGACTAACTTTCTTGAGATCTCGCAGCAGAATTGTAGGTAGAATACCGATAACAAGGTCGCACACGATAGCTGCACTGCTATTAATGTAGACAACCAACATCTCGAGATCATCATGACATTTGCCCGGGGCTGTCAATCGGTCCCAGTAATACGAAAGGGGCAAGCATTGGAAAATGCCAACAGCGAGATTCAAGAGTCCTGCAACAATGGTAAACACTATAACCGTATAGAGGATAGCGGAATAAATCCTCTGGAAACCAGTGAAAGGAAGTAGCGTAAGGCAGATTGCTACCCTCATGGCTATAGCTGCAACAGAATAGAGTTGGCCGATCCATCAGCACTGAGTATATAGGTCATTAGACTTTAGATATCATACAAAACCCACAATATACTCACTAGCATAGCCTGTCGGAAGTTGTCAATCCGATCATGGAAATAATCTGTCTTCTGACCAATGCCATATATTCGTCCAGTGATTCCAACCAAGGCAAACCCTAAATTGAACACATGATTTTGGCTGATTAGATATTGATAAAAAAAAGACTGTGCTGAAAACTCACGGCGGCCACGGCCATTAGACCATCATCCCATCCAAAATTCTTGACCATCTTGATGCATACATAACATCGGAAACAGGCTGTTACGAATGATAGAGTCCCTAGCACAGCCGGAACGGCAGCAACCGCATTGCTTCTACCATGTAGCATTATGGGTGGAGTGTGAGGTGTGTTGACATAACTATTGGACACCGTGCGAGAAAATTATGGAGAAAGCTGAAGCGACACAAGCGTCTGTCATATCCGACAGATGAACTCTGGATATCAGTATGGTTTATGAAACTCACAGATATCGCATACCCTTACCCAACACAATCAAAGACCCTTTCTAGATATTACGATACATGTCACATATGCAAGAGGAAGTCATTGGGGACAGCTGAGTCCTTATAACTCACCACCATGACCGGTCATATTTATTATACATTATTGAACAAGGATAAGGGGAATCCAGTAATAAGGTTATAAAAATATCCAGATACGTCTCGCTAGTGTATTGGAAGCAGCACAAAAGTACGGTTTGCCGATCAGTCCGCTTTGGCCAATCTTTTGAGAATGGACTTCCTACATCGAGTAAGTAGCTTCGCCTGTTTCTGATCTGTTGACGCTCTCACTCGCTGAGCATACGGGGATCGACAGCGGGCGCCAATTCTTTGACATTCCCGCACTCGTGGCAGGTGTCTGGAGTCGAGGAGGATCATTGCTATTGAACGGCAAGGGGTCTGACCTTACGTTTATATTCAAAGGCACTGGGTGATCGAGTCTTGGCCAGTTAGGCCCCTGCATCTTAAGCAAACCAAGCGAGCAATTCAAGCAATTTAAGCAGCTTCAGTGATCTACGTATTTGGAGTGATTGAATTATCGGCGGAATATGGCAACAAATGAAGGGAACTGCCGTAATGCATCACCGACTTAGTACCGCTGATGTATTTCTCATCCAAGGAATGATTTGATAGACAAATAGTATCATTCCATACTTGTAACCTGATAGTTATCTTAGTTATTATGCATGCACCAAAGAAGTAAAGGGCATTCTCCATATAATCTGAGCACATGACTATTTAAAAGAGGCAGATTTATACTTTCAGTATGTTCAGCCAACCCTGTGTTCAATCACATTGCTGACATTCCTCAAATAATATTATACTTCCCCGGAACTTAATATTGGATAATAGTAACATCAAGCTACTTCTTTGTATAATTATAGTGCTACTGATTATTCCTAAGGCTGCTCAGTATTCCCCAGATTATTAACTAGTCTGGAATGCATACATTACCGCCTGCTGCACTACCACACTACATTCGTCTACAGAAAGTCGTGTATCATAGCCAAGACTCAGAGTGGACGGTCCTTTACGAACTACCACATAGTCAAGGGTTTTAGAGCGATGGAGGGCTCATTTCCATTTTGGAGGTAGGTCGATGACACATACCTGAGCGTTTAGGCATCATCGTGGCTCGTGGTGTCATTGCGGATATGTTTTCCGCGCAGAGGCATTGCAGAGAGTCTCTTCGCTGCCGCTCCTTTTCTCAGACACTTTCCAGAACCAATGGTAGGACATATCGCAGTAAATTGGTATTGACAAGAGTGGAATTTCACTGAACCTGTCGTTCGTAATTGCGTCCATCGCACTTTTTGTGAGTTTATTTTGGTTCGATGACCATTCCTTTCATCTCATGGCCAGTATTACCGCATAACGCGGGCCGCTTTGCCTCTATTTCTCCCCTATATGTATGACAGCCTGGGCACGCACTGGGCCTCTTCGAATCCTGGGCTCTTTGTCGTCACCTGTCTGATCTTTTAAAAATTTCGCGACAAGTGGGACGGCTAGTGCCGCAAGGGCGCAGCCTATTCTGAGGCGTTCATGCGCAAGCTTCAGCAAAAAGCAAAAGGAATCGCTGCAGACATGGGCACTGTCTAGTTTAATTTAGTCTGCACAATGCTGTAGGAGTGTTTATTGCTACATCGATATGACTTTGTACCGCTAGCTTACTGCCAACTGAGAAACGATATAATAACCAAATAATGTCATTCATTATGTGCGGTCTGATAGTCACCCTAGTATATATCCATCGTATTACGGAAAAACAAAAAGCATCCTTCATAAAATCAAATCACGAGCTTATCCAAAATAGACATACTTGCACATCTAGGGCTCAGTGATGTCCCTAACGCTGCTAAAGCAAAATTGTGAGCTTCTATGACCTTGTAGTAGGGAACGAGACAATAGATTACATACCCCATTAACACGATTATAAAGTTGCTGATCATTTCCGAGGTTGCTCAGAGTCTATCAAATTAGATTAGCCTAGCTTGGGACCATCCAGGAAAATGGATACATACTGGGTTTGCAGCCTGATACTGCGCCGAGTGATCAACCCTAGGTTTACCGTCCGGGTACTGCGCTCTCTGCAGCTGTTCGTTGACTCTCGCTTTGGTCCACTGCGTCCTCGTCAGCGAGACTCTAATAGAGAATAACTAGAATAGAGATATATACCTGGTGCTCAGCAACAGCACCTTCGATCCTAACCCCAGCATTAACAACGCCATGGATGGCATCCGCCCCAGACCATGTACTGTTCAAGCCGGCTCCTAGGGCGGTATTGAAACCCTCGGAGGTTTTGTATGGACTCATAGTGGACAAAGCGGAAAGGATTCAAGAAAAGCCCGGTAAGCAAAGCCTTGGGGTGTATTGATTTTAAGCTTGATACTGCTGAAGCTAGTTTGACACTGATATCTAGGGAATATACGGCTTGATTTATATGTTCTAGTATATGTATACAGAACCTCCATATCACTGAGCGTGTCCTATTGTGAGATTGGTATCGATACATCAAGGCCATGGAAATAGAGGCGTGGGCGCGAGACTGAGTGGTTGGCGAATCGATACGACTGGGCCTCACTTTTCGCAGCCACAGACGTAGTACGCCAGTATAGGAAATCCTGCAATCTAGACGGCCCAGTATGGTCCTCTACGGTGTTTTCAATTGCCG